CATGACAAACACAAGTCGGGATGTTTGAAGTCTGTGCAAAGAAATGTTTCTGATCTCACCACAAGCCATCAGTCGTTAGTAATCCAAAGACTATTACTCGAAAAAGAAATGTGGTCACTCAATCCGCGGCTGTCTTTGGAACACTTTATACAGAGTCAATCCACTTTACAATATATCCTGTGAAGCGCTTTGAGACGTCTCAATGGCGTGTTATGGCGCTACATCAAATGGGAGGATTATTATTATTATTTATTATTTCTTCTGATTATTAAGCGTATTCATTTAAGAAAGGTTTGGAATTTTGTGGATGGACAAAGTGATATGGCAGCGAGTAGGGCTGAGGTTGAAGCCTACCCCTGTCGCCCCCACCCCGGCCTGCCCTGCCCTGCCTTTGGCTTCAGGCTGTGTTTTCAGCAGCGAGTCAGGACTGTGAAGGCCAGAAGCTGCCAATGAGGCCGAGGAGGGGATGTTACGAGGCATGAGTTCAGGATCATAATCCTTCCCTTTAGTACAAGCAACTTGATGTCAGAGGTGCTTCACAGGTAATTGCTGCCAGGTGTAGTGACTGAGGTTAAACCCTATCTTAAAACAAGCCGACTACCACAATTTGCAAGGCTATGGGGAAAGAGTGGGCCTGATTAGATAGCTATTTGAAAGAGCCGGCACAGGCACACAATGGACCAAATGGCCTCCTTCTGTGATGTAGGATTCTATGACTCAATCTTGTCTGTGGTCCCCTCTCCCTTGCTCAACCTTCCCCCCACTCCCCCACCCCACCCCACCACCCGCCACTGTTAATCGCTCAGAGATGTTACCCTCCATGAAGGGCGCTGTATAAATGTATATTGTTGTGTGGATCTGATGAGACGATGGATGGAATTTCTGGTCCCAGAGGAGAACAGCAGATTGGGAAATAGGGAGAATGTCTGCCTTAGGAAGCACTCACACTCCAGAGGCAGGAGGTTCTGGGTTTCCAGGCCCCAGGTCAGATCTTTGAGCTCACAGGCTAAGCTGAGGCTCCAGCACTAAGCTTGGGCTTCAGAGGAGGCATTAAACCCAGGTCCTATCTTTGTCTCTTTAGGTGGACGTTAAAGATCCCGCAACGCTATTGGAAAAGAGAAGGGAGTTTCCCAATCCCTGTGTCCTGGTTGATAATCCCCCCAGATAAATCGGTAGAGTCCTTCCATGGGACCTCACTGTGCACAAACTGGCTGCTGCGTTTACCCACAAATACACAGTCACTACACCTGCCAAAACTTGGCGGGTAATTGGATTTGAGTTACAGATCAACAGTGATCTTATAGAATGCCGGAACAGGCTCAAGGGGCTGAATGGCCTCCTCCTCTTTCTATGTAACATCAAGTGGAAGAAATATAATGGAATATTATTTTGCTTGTTCCCTGAACCAAAACATTCACTATTGGAATTAGCTCTGTTTAAATTTACCTTTCAAGCAGCGAGCTCCTGGCAGGCCCTACACATAGAGCTCTTTGTGCTGACCTGACCTGCCAGCTCCTCTCAGCTCAATCACAGCCCCGAGCATGAGAGCGAGATAGACGGACAGATAGATAGGCAGAGAGAAAGAGAGAGACAGAGGGAGAGAGTGGCGAACAGATAGACAGAGAGAGAGAGAGAGAGGGAGAAAGAATGGTAGATAGAGAGTGAGAGAGAGAGAGACACACAGAGAAAGACAAACAGACAGAGAGATAGACAGAGACAGAGGGGGAGAGAGAGAAGGAAACAAAAGACTAGTGATGGGGATGGGCAGAAGGGATATTTTTATATTTATGTCAGGATCCATCACTTTTTACAGCACCTGTAACATCCCAAAGGGCTTCACAGGGAATCACTGTCAAGTGTAGTGACTCATGTATATTGTAGGCAAACCCTGGCAGACAGTTTGTACACAGTGATGTTCCACACACAGCTATAAACTGATGACTAATCTATTTGGAGGATAGCTGGCCAGGACACTGGGAGAAACTCCCTGCTAATGTCACTGAAGTACAGGCAGAGCTCAGTTTAACGTCTTATCCAAAGAACAACACCTCTGTTGTTCTCGGTGACTGGAAAGGTTACTTAAGCTTTCTGGGTAGATACTAAAGGAGATTCACAATGGAGAAACGTGAGCATCTGAGAAGTGTAGGAACATACGAACAGGAAGAAACCATTCAGCCTCTCAAGCCTGTTCCGCCATTCTATTAGATCATAGCTGATCTGTACCTCAACTCCAGTTACCCACCTTTGCTCCATATGCGGAGTCCTGTAGCTCAGTGGTTAGAGCACTCGCTTTGCAAGAGAGTGACCTGGGTTCAATTCCAGGCAGAGGGCGAAACCTTGGGCAAGTTTCCTTACTCCACACAGAGCCTAATAATAATCCCTCCAAAACCAAAAACAATAATAAATTGGTCATTTTCAATCTACGACTGTTTGTGGGACATTGCTGTGCGCAATTGGCCGCCGCCTTCGCCCACAAATATACAGTCAATTCACTTTAGTGTGTTCTGTGAAGCGCTTTGGGACGTCCTCCCGACGTGAAAAGCGCTATATCAAATGCAAAGATTATTATTATTAAATATACAGTCAATTCACTTTACAGTGTGTTCTGTGAAGCGCTTTGGGACGTCCTCCCGACGTGAAAAGCGCTATATCAAATGCAAGGATTATTATTATTATTATTATTATTATTATTATGCCTTGATACCCTGACCTAACAAATATCTATGCACCTCGGTCTTGAAAATTTCAATGCATCGAACATCCACAGCCTTTTGCGGGAGGGAGAGAGTTCCATATTTCCATGATCCTTTGGGTGAAAAAATGCTTCCTGATTTCACTCCTGAATGGCTTCGCTCTAACTGAGATTATATAGCTGGTCACCCAGCTCATTTGCTATTTTACGGGCCACAGGATCTTTGATGTCCACCAGAAGACAGGACCCTCAATTTATCGTCTCATCCAAAGTACGCCATCCCTCCACACCTCCCAGCACTGCATCAGAGCCTCAGCCTAGATGCCTAGACTGTGAGCTCGGTTCTAATGTGGGGGCTTGATCCCACAGCTCCCTGACTCAAAGACAAGAGATCTTCGGACTGACCCAGGTTGAGAATCAGACTGAGAATCATCGGGAGAGATACTTTGATGGAACAAGAGGAATGTCCCTTTAAGGACAAAGGGAAAAGATGAGGTCTCCTCTCCCGCCAGTGCTGTGCAACTCTCCCACCGAAGCATGAAGATCTCAGTATCTGAAACCATTTGGTTTGGCTCGAAAGATGTTTCCGTTACTGTTTTGCACAGACAAACCTCCCACACTGACACCCAGCATCAAGGGCTTGTTACCAATCCCCCACAAAATAGCAATAATCCTCACATTTGATAAGCGCCTTTCACTTCAGGAGGCCGTCTCGAAGCGCTTCACAGGAGATGCTGTAAAGCGTAGTGACTGTGTGTTTTCGAAGGCAGACAGGACAATTTGTGCAATTTGTGCACGGTTTTGAGGCGAGGAAGGACAGAGAGGCAGCTGAAAAATGATACGAAATAAAAAGGAAAACGGCCAAGAAAAATGTTGGCGGTTTGGAGGCGTTGGGGGGTTGGGGGGGGAGGTGGTGAGGGAGGGGGGAGAATCCAAATGGATGGATAACCAGCCAGGAAAGAAACAGCCAAAATGATGGAATAGCAAGAACGATTTCCTTTCTACCACATACCTTTCCAGTCAGTGCAAATTCACGGAAAACACGAGAAAAGCTTTCATTCTCCCCCTGACCTGAGCGCCAGCTCCTGAGTGCTCGCTCGCAAGAACATAGTGATCTATAAACAAGGAGTTTTCCTCTCACCACCAGCCAGGCGTTCACAGCAGCTCCATTGTGCCGCTCGGTTGGCAGGAAGCAGTTAGAGAAAGCAATTAGATAAGTCAAAGCTGTTTAGTTTCTGTCCTTGTGGTTGGGATGTGGGGGTTGGGGGCGCTGGGGGTTGATTGTGAAATGCCTGTACATTTTCAGGATGAATTGCTGCTCATTAAGGCAGAGAAGGGTTAGGGTTACACTATTTGGAGGGAAAACAATAGGGTCAGTTTTAATAATAATAATCCTTGCATTTGATATGGCGCCTTATCACGTCATCAAAACGTCTCAAATCACTTCACAGACTATACCGTAAAGTGAATTGACCGTATATTTTTGAGGTGAAACGCGGCAGCCAATTGCACACAGCAGCGTCCCACAAACTCTTCCGAGGGAAACCTCACTCTGAAAGCAGGTTCGGTCAGAGTGACATTCCCATGGAAATGGCTCCCAAGTTTCCCGATTTCTTAATGAAGAAATACCATCAAGTAATACTGCAATATTGAGTCCATTCCTGCAATGATGTGGGAACGCTTAAAAAAGCAAAAGCAACAAATTTGGAAAGCAATAAAGTGATCATTTATTTTTGCATAATTAATTGGATTTACATGTCAATCACAAACATCTAGTAATTGTTTTTCACACAGAATAAGTTAATCTGATTTAATTATTATCCCCATCGGCACAGGATACATACTTCTTAAACAGGCACCTGAGGTCACTGTCTCGGAGCGAGATAAATAGTGAGCTGGGATCTTTAATGTGAAACGGGCATGAACAGGAACTAGGGTTTCATGTCTCATCCAAAGGACGGCACCTCTGACAATGCAGCACTTTGCTCCCTGGAGGGTTAGCTGAGATCAGGGTGGCCCAATTGCCGGCCCGCAGGCCACATCCGGCCCCATATCATCCAGCCCACCCGCTCCCTCCATAACCCGTAAATGTTATGTTGTGTTTCTGGAAGGGAAACACAAAATATTGCTTTATTGTTTCTCAAATAGGCCCTCAGCAGCCAAAAGGTTGCCTCCCACCCCCTCCCGGCCTAGATTATGTGAGTTCAAAGCCCCAGAAGTGGGCATTGAACCCACAACCTCCTGCTCCGAGAGGCAGAAGTGAGAGCGGCTGGGAGGAACTGTTGAGTCAACGGCCTGAAACTGTTCACTAGCTCTGCATGAAGAGGTGGAAGTTGGATCGAGTGAATTCCTGATGGATTGTGTTGAGGAAGCTGTCGGAATCCTGAGGGATCTCCCGCACGGCCCTCTGCTGGGGGCAGGAGCTCTGCTCGGGTGTGTAGGTGAAGGAGAAGGGGCTGCAGAAGATGATGCCATCACTCCTCATCAGGAAGAGAGGGACAGTGATGGGGCAACGGAGCCACCTCCACTGGTGACTGTACGCACACACATCCGGAACCACACACACCATCGACTTGGGATTCCTGTGGGAATACAGACGCTCAGGCTCAGTCTCTCGCCACTTTCAAGAGTGGCCACCCTCCCCCCCCCCCCCCCCCCCCACCCCGACAGTCATCAAGTGAACGAGCGATTTTATCCTTCACACTGGATAACTATAGATTTGGGTTATTACCAGTAATAACAAGGGGAAAGATTAAGAGGTTTGTTTTGCACACAGAGGGTTGTTAGAACACAGAATGTGCAATGTCTGAGGCAGATCCATAAAAGAGGGAATTCGATAAACATCTGAAAAGGAGAACATGACAGGGTGTGTGAGAGGGAAAGGCAGAGAGTGAGGCTAAACAGACAGCCAGTGCTGGCACAATGGGCCAAAGGCTTCTCTATCCAAATATTGTTCCACAGAACAAAGCACAGGGATGGAAACATTCCCATTGTTTTATTAAATCCAGGGAAAAACTGCAATTCGATGATCTCAGAGCCTCTCCTTTTCCAACATAAATGACTCAAAATTCCTAAGCCTTTCCTCCAAGCAGATGTTTCTTAATATCTGGAATCGTCCCGATCGCTGGTTAATACCGTTCGAGGAGGCGAACTGGGGAATGGTTTGATCTAAGTTCAAACAAATATTTGGAAACCATTTTTCCGTAGTTCTTAATTTTGCCCACAACGTACACAGTCAATCCGCTTCACAGTATATCGCCGAAAGGATCGATTTCAAGATCCTCACACTCGTTTTCAAATCCCTTCATGCCCTGGCACCTCCCTGTCTCTCTGGCCTGCTTACCCCCCACCCACAACCCGCTGCCTCCGATCGACTGGCTCCGGCCTCCTGCATGTCCCTCACGCCCTCCGTTCCACCGTCGGTGGCCGCGCTTTCAGCCACTACGACCCTAAACTCTGGAACTCTTTTCCTTTATCCCTCCGCTTAGTCCCTTCCTTCCCCATCTTCAAATCGCGCCTGAAGACCTTTCTCTTCGACCGTGCCTATGGTCACCTCCTCCCTCCCACTGCCTCGGAGCCGTGCTCCGCCATTTTCAAGCCCTCTGTGATGCTACATTGAATGAGGACGCTGTATAAATACAAGTTGTTGTTGACAGTTGAACAACATGATAAGGCACTATATCACATGCAAGGATTATTATTATTATTATTATTAAGAACCATCTTGAACTGAAGTGGTTTCCACAATTCCACACCATCTTCAACCACAAGATATAACCAGTCAACGGCAACTGGCCTCACAGACTAAAGGTGGAATTTCACCTCTGAGAGGTGGGTGCAATCAACTCTGAGCCACAAGGGCTGGACCTGGGGTCAGGGAACGATGCGTCAGGGTCAGGGTCTCACCTGTACATTGTTTCTGCCTCGACATCACCAAGCCAGGCCTTCAGGTGGGGGTTGAAGTTTTCACCTTGTATGTCCAGCATGGCCACATCTCCTCCTCCATTCAACTTAGAATCATAGAATCATAGAATATTACAGCACAGAAGGAGGCCATTTGGCCCATCGTGCCTGTGCCGGCTGTTTGGAAGAGCTGCCCAATCAGTCCGACTCCCCCGCTCTTTCCCCATATCCTTGCAAATGTTTCCTTTCCAAGAATCTACCCAATTCCCTTTTCAAAGTTGTTATTGAATCTGTTTCCATTTCCTTTTAGGGGGGAGAGGAAGAGAACATGTCCCAGAGAGAGAGACAGACAGACAAACAGACTGACACACAAATACACACACACACAGAGTGAGAGAGAGACAGACAAAGAGAGAGACACACATACATACACAGAGTGAGACAGACAGATAGAGAGTGAGAGAGAGTGAGACACACACACACAGATGGAAAGACAGAGAGACAGAGAGGAACACAACCTGGACAAAGGTATGACCTAAAAGTCCAGCAGTGGCCGCTCAGAATCTTTCACCGTGTCCTCACATTCCCACAGACACTCAGCCCAACCCACAAATTAATTGTGAAACAGATACCCGCCCTCTTAGACTGGACAGTCCAAACCCCTGACTGTCCAGCTCCTTGGGACGTCCTCACGACGTGAAAGACACTGTGCAAATGTAACATGTTGTTGCTGTAGACAGGACCCCACCCCACCCACCCCATGTCCTCACCTCGAGGCTGCTGATGATGGGGATGGGGGTGACGGGATTGTGAGTCTGGGTCAGGCTCTCACTGAATGTGTACTCCACTGTCTCCGTACCAATGATAGTCCAGCAAGCTCCGTCACTTAGCATCTCCTTGTTGGCTTCCTTCGAGCAGGGGGTCGCCTGTGAGATCACAACAACAGCAACGTACATTATTATAACACGGGGAGGGCGGGTGGGGGGGGGATTGAGAACTAGGCCAAGGGGGTAATATAAGCAGGCAGCTGAGCGATCTCAGGCTTGAAATCGTTGATGTGGAAGTATTACGTTGCATAAGCTATTCACAAGATCAGCAGAAATATTCAGTTGAAGAACTCAGTTCAGAAACCTCTTGATGCCTTCAGCCTGTTTGACCTCATCCGTCCATCTTATTCAATGCCACCCTCTGGCTCGCTCCCCCACACCCTCACACACATATAAACACACACACACGAGTGAGAGACAGATACAGATGGTGAGAGACACACACTCACACACACACACACACTCAGTGAGAGACACACACTCAGTGAGAGATAGACAGACCGTGAGCGAGAGAGAGACACACACACAAACAGTGAAAGATAGATAGACAGACAGACAGTGAGAGAGAGAGACACACACACACATAAGCAATGAGAGACAGATAGATAGACAGAGAGAGAGAGACACACACACACACCTAAACGGTGGCTGAGGCCAGAAACACGGAACTCATTTAACAGCTGGTTTTTTCTTCGATTCTGGGAGGGAGGTGAAGGCCATTCTTCAGCCGAACTGATCTTGTGAAACTCTTCCCTTCAATTGCCTTAAAAAAAGAATCGACTGACTCTTCCTCAGCTCTGCTGTGTGACAGAGAACTCCACATTCCCACCACAAACCTGCGTGTGGAGCAGGATTTGGTTCTAACCTCCACTTTAATTTCTCTCGCGATTACTTTACAACTGGCCCTGACTCAGTCTTGACTTGCCGAAGGGCAGGAGCAAAATCCCGTCCCATCCCATCCCTGGGCAGCAATCCCTCACCTGGAACTGCACGATCCTCTCGTTGGAGAGACACAGGTACATGCCCTGGGTGTCCTTGATGTGGAAGGCGCATTTGTGTAGCTGGGAGACAGGCTCGTCCACATCAAGCACCGCGTACTGCTTGTTCACCTTCCGAATGACCTGAGCGTAAAACTACACAGTGAGAAGCCGAGCTCAGCAGGCGGTGATTTTGAGGGTATGAAATAACAACAACAACAAATTACATTTGTACAGCATGTTACACGGCAGGAGGATGTCCTGGACAGTCAAGGATTTGGATCCAAGCCGGGGTTAATAATACCAACAGTAATAATATAATAATAATAACTTGAACAATAATTTTGTAGACAAACGCTAAAACCTGAAGAGCAATTTACAGCAATCATAAAAAAATCCTTGCCATTTGACACAGGGCCTCAAAGGTCAAAACAGCTCAAAGCGCTTTACAGGCAGTTGCTGTCAAGTGCAGTGACTGTGCCTTTTGTGGACGAAACGTGGCAGCCAATTTGCACACAGCAGTGTGCAAATTGGCTGCAAACAGCCTTGGAGTGAGCGACCGATTTACCTGGAGGATTGTGGGCGAGAACGCCGGGAGAGAGAGAAAGTATGTTTTATATAACTTTCTCCCCATCAACGGGTGCCGCTGATCCCCAGCCTCTTCCTGTTGGGGTCTGGGTTAACAGGACTGTTTGCTCCTTCATTTGACCCTTCATTTGCCATTGCTCACGTGCGAGCTGTTACTGACTTCAAACTAGGTTGAACATAAACCTTGGCTCTTGCCACCCTGCGCCTAATACCCTCCGGAATTAGGTTAGCAGGATATGTCCCTCCAGGGAAAGAGAGAGAGAGGGAGAGCATACCTTTCCAACAATCTATCTCTGGAGTTTCCATGTGTAGGTGGGATGCATGGAATTCTCACTGTGGTTTGGAGACTCTTAAGCAACAGTGATGGGTTTCCACGTGTGTCAGATACGCGGCTGGGCAAAAGAAAATAAATAAAGCTTAAGATATGTTAAAGTGAAGTTGAGCTGATGTGTCCTACCATGGTTGGCAGTGAGACTCCGGAAACGGTACAGATGAGCTGGACGGCTGAGCCGTACCGGATGTAGCTTTCCTGAGGTCGGAATTCACCCTTCTGGGATCTTTCATCCACTGCGGAGGTGGGGATGGGGGGGTCGGGATTGAGGGTGGGGATATGGTGGGAGGGAGGAAGGGGGAAATGGGAGAGAGTCAGGAGGGGGAGATGGGCAGGAGGGCAGAATTCTAATATCAATCCTTGCATTCGACGCACCTCCTTTGATATCAAAACACCTCAGAGCAGTTCACAGTGAACACCATCGAGAATAGCGACTGTGACTATCTCCGGTCAACAAATAATTCCTTACATTTTATCAGCGTCTTTCGTGTTGAGAGGATGTCTCAAAGAAAAGCGCTCCACAATGCTAAGCTGTAAAGTGGAACAGTTACATGTTTTGTGGGGCAAAAGCAGCAGCCAATTGGCGCCCAGCCAATCGGTATTTAACACCAATAACTTTTGTTGAGCTCCGACTTTGCACAGATTCACACCTCCCACTAACTGGCCAAATAAAGCCTGGAGGATTCCTGCTTTCTAGCCACTAACGAATGCCCACACCTTCCCCAATAGCCCCTGGCTGAATCATTGAACCTCACAGCACAGAAAGAGGCCATTCGGCCCATCGTGCCTGTGCCAGCTCTTTGAAAGAGCTACCAACTAGTCCTGCTCCCCTGCTCTCAGTCCCGTAGCCCTGCAGTGTTTTCCATGTCAAGTATATGTACAATTCCCCTTTGATGGTTATACTGTCCGCTGGTATAATAGCAGGTTAAATGCTTCCCTGTGATCGCTCTTACCCAGGTGCAGTGTGAATGCTGCCCACTGCCTGGCACTGGCCACAAACACGTCTCCATCCACAAACAGGTACCTGGTGCTGACTGTCTGAGAGCGCAGGCGATTAAACAGTGCCACCTTCGAACCCGAGGAGATACACACTGACACAAAAAAAAAGGCCAAAACACTGTATTGAACACAACATGAGCGATAATAATAATAATAATAATAAGCCCGGCATTTGGTTAACAGCGCCTTATCATGTCGTTGAGACTTCTCAAAGCGCTTCACAGGATATACTGTAGAATGAATTGACTGTGTATTTTGTGGGCAAAACGCAGCAGCCAATTGCACACAGCAGCGTCCCACAAACAGTCGTGAATTGAATGACGAAATTATTTTTTTGAAGAGATTATTACCCCCGGAAAAGCGATCCGCCAATTGACTAACAACCACGTTCCTACTTACTGCCAGGTAAACAGAAACGTGTGGGGTAAATTAACTTGTCTAAGGTTTCACTTGTCTAAGGTTTCACCTCGCCTGGGAATCGAACCCAGGTCCTATTGCTTGTGAGGCGAGCACTCGAACCACTGAGCTACGGGCATTTCTGAACTACCGCATTGAGGTTTATGTTTGCCGGTTGGCAGAGCACGCGGGCAGACTTCAAATACTCACAGTCGGCATTCTTTATGGATTGCTTCTTCTGGGAAGGTTTCGAGATGACTTTAATCAGTTTACTGTAAAAGGTCCCCACCTCCTGCCCGTTCCCAAGCAAGAGTTTCAAGACGATCTGAAAGTGTTTTCGTTTGTCAACATCGGATATGTAGAGAGCTTTGGCACAGCCGAATCTCTGAGAGTGAAAGAGAGAGAGAGAGAGAGAGAGAAAGTGGGGTTAATGTAATAGAGTAATTTTAAACAAATCAGGAGCAAGGACAAACATGATGGAGCAAATAGCCTTTTTCTGTGCTGGAAATTTCCACGTTTCTCTCTGATCCCCCTGCTTATTCCCCACGCCACCACCCCACTGCCTCCGGCTTCCTGCTTGTCCCTCGTTTCTGACCACGGTTTGAGCCACTACGCCCCGAAACTCTGGAACACTCTCCCTCAATCCCTCCGCCTTGTCCCCTCCTTCCCCATTTTCAGATGACCGTCTTAAGACCTTCCTCTTCGATCGCGCCTGCGGTCACGTACGCCTGTCTTGGCGTCAGGCTCTGCCACTGTTAACCGCTACCCTGCGTGAAGGGCACTGTGTAAGTGCAAGAACTGTAAATTGTTGTTGTTGTTGTATGAAGCACATCATTTGATATTACTGTATCTTACTGTGGAGTCTGGCCGTTCTTCAAAGTTGATTTTCAGTGCGTCTCCCTGGCTGTTGCCCGCACTGTCCAGCCCCATATACCCCCCAAGTTTGTAGCTTGATTCACTCAGCCCATTCACTGCAACATAAAGGAGTTACAATAACATTCACAGCCATTATAAACATCAAAACATCTCAAAGAGCTTCACAGATAACCGCTGTAAAATACAGTGATTGTAGTGACTGCCAATATTTACACACAGTTTTATCTGGGGGATTGTTGGCCAGGACACCGTGAGAGAGACAGAGAATTCCCTTCTCTTTTAGCAATAGCGCTGTGGGAACTTTAACGTCCAACTGACAGACGGGGTTTGGTTTAACGTCTCATCTGGAGGACGGCACCTCTGACAATGCAGAGCCCCACTCCAGCCTTAACTTGGAGAGTCAGCCTAGCTCGACAGCGAGTTCATAGTCACCAACACGGGGCTTGAACGTACAACTTTCTGACTCAGAGGTGAGAGTGCTACTGACTGAGCCAGGCTGGCAACTAGTTACTGGGGCAATCAAAACATCACAGAGTAACAACTGACTGAGGTTTGCCTTGTTCCCACTCTCTCTCTCTCTCTCTCTATCTCTTTTCCTCCTGTTTTGTTTCACTCGCTCTCCCGCTAGACTCCTACCCTAATCTGATAAAGGTTCGTCCTGTCTTGCCAAGGAATGTTGTGCTTGGATCAGCATTATCCTGGATCAAGGATTGCGCTGAACCAGGAGAGGTGAAGCTCAGTGCCCAAAGTTAAATCATTCGTTAAGCAATTCAGACCAAACACGCGGGGATAAGAGGAACATGAATCGTGAAATTCCCCAACTGGACCGAAAAGCAGGCTATCTCGTCCGTCAGTGAAATCGGATTATCCTTTGAAGCCGGATAACCAGGGAACGTTGCGTGCCGGACTTGGGATCAGGAAAAAGAGCGACGTGACTGGGGAAGTGTTTTGGGGTGGATTCGATATGTAAGTGCAGACAGGGGCTAGTTATGCTATCTGTTTATTCAGAGCTGCCTAAGAGTCAGTGGGGGTGGGTGGGGCGGGGGGGAGGGAAGGGGGGGAAGGGGAGTGGGTGGGGCAGGTCACTGAGTACTGAACAACTTATTTCCAGGAATCTCGGCTCAGCCGACCGACCATCAATTTCTTTTGACGTTCAACAACGCCGGGTTCAAAACATTCAGACAGAAGGATAGTCATGCAGTTTGTTCAGCAACGTTTACAACATACCTCAAATAAATACTTAGTTAGTGTAGAGTAGCGGTGGGGGAAGGGGTTGGGGATCGGCCACATCAAAGGCATCGTTTATCTGATGCACGTTAGCATTGAGAGCATCTATGGAGAGAGGAAAGTGAGTTAACGTTTCAGGACTGTTCTGATGAACAGAATTTGTCAGAGCTCTGACAAAAGGTCATGGACCTAAAACGTTAACTCACTTTCTTCTCTCCATAGATGCTGCCTGACCTGCTGAGTGTTCCCAGCCACTTCTGTTGTCATTTCAGACTAACTGTACCCACTGCAGCTACGCTTGCATCCAATCCAGAAGTAGATTTTAGTATCATAATACCTTATATTAGATTATTATACTTTATATCAGGATAGATCCCCAACAAAATATGCCCATGGTTTTCCCTGTTGCACTTTGTTGCAGAATATATTAACACAGATGTATCTCTCTGGAACCATGTGTGATTTCCTCTGTGGCCACTTTGTTGAATATCGTGCTTACCTCATATTTGGGGACTTACTTGAACCATTTTGTAAAGATTGTTCATCAACGATAGGAGATTCCCCCCAAAATATGCCCATGATACTCCCCCTGGCAAGACCTTTCTGACAAGGTATAAGTCATGTCTCTACATCAATTGGTTATTGCGTTATTGGCGCAGACACACACAGACACACACACACGCACACATGCACAGACATTGTTGTTTTATTAATATAGATTTCCAGCATCTGCAGTATTTTGCCTTTAGCATTGAGAGCGCTGTGTCTCTGTCAGGATCTGCTGTCATTTGCTCAGCTAACCCAGGTCTGTCCTCTGGGTTAGTGGTTGCCTTCAGCCACTATGCCCTAACCCACTTGTAGGGCAACTCACAGCCCGCGGGCTGAAAGTGGCCCTCGGGGGGGGGGGGGCTCTCAACAAGAAGTGGCCCATGGAACATTTGCCTAGTCGAGGAGAATCTGTTTTAACACAGTAATGTGTTTCTATAAATTAATTCATGGCATAAATCAAGAAATATTCAATTAAGAAACTTTATTTTGTTGGCAAACCATAAAAGGTTGTCCGTCATTTCCTCCAGAAAACTCCCTGCCTCAACCCCTCCATCTCTTTAACTATCTTTAAATCCCACTTTAAGACCTACCTGTTGGACCAATGATGACCTCCAGTCCTTACCTCTCAGCTGCTCCTGCTTCACTCCCCATCCAGGTCCTGTCAAGTACACACATGGCGGTGGGCAGAAAAACCTGCAATGGGATCCCACATGTTGGTCAGTCCATCAGTGTTGGCATCAAACTTGGTTGGACAAGAACCAATCAACACCAACACTGTGGTGTATGAACCTTGAGGCGTCTCAAAGCATTTATGGATTACATAGGCACATTGGGACGTTATTTAGTCTATCGAACTCGATTGCCTACAAAACACACAGTCACTACACTTTACAGTGTATCCTGTGAAGCGCTTTGAGACACCTTCCGATGTGAAAGGCACAATATTAAATCTAAGAATTATTATTATTGTTCCACCGATTTATTAGATGGAAGCAGATCTTTTCAGCCCTTTCCCCATGCTCATTAATACCATTACTTCCCAAGTGTCTATTGTTATTTACCTCTTTTCATTCCCGTATGATTTCTGAGCCACCTTAGCGTGTAGTATGAGTACAGTCTGGTCAGCCCGATGCTGGAGATAGTGACGGATAATGTCCCTGGTCACATTGCCAGACCTGAATGCAAACCACAAAGATTAGAAGCGAAACTGGATTGAGAATGAAGCAAGACACTATCTCCATTGGATCTCATCCCAACGAAACCTTAGGCAAGTTTCCTACAAGCCTCTGTTTACTTAGCAGTTAGTGGGAACCCGGTTGTTGGTGTGTCACTTTTCCAGTGGTAATAATCCTTTCAAAAAAAATAATAATAATAATTTGGTCACTCAATCCCTGATTGTTTGTGGGACACTGCTGTGGGCAATTGGCTGCCGCTTTTGCCCATGAAATATACAGTCACTCCACTTTACAGTATATTCTGTGAAGTGCTTTAAGACGTCTCTATAACAAATGCAAGGATTATTATTATCTTCTTTTTGGAAGGGATTATTATCCCCGGAAAAGCGATCCGCCAATTGACTAAAGGCAGGTGTTTTTTTTTATTTGCCGAGATGGTTTGAGCCTTTGCGGGCATTAAGTGCTCTGCCAGAGATTGGGGTGCTGTTAAAATTCCACACTGCCCTCTGAGAGATGATATCACTCAGTCCACAGGGCCACTTACATTGTAGTGCAGAATGTGAGACTGCGGAGTACAGTGAAACTCTTGTGCAGAAAAATGAATGTTCAAGATAGAAAACATTGGGAGTTTGGCTCATCCATCAGCTGTGGACTGAGTGTGACTGACTGTGAAAGACAGGTTCAAGCTCTCTCACAGGAAGCTGCTTGTCTCGACGTTAATTTACAATGTTTGATTAATAATGATCTTTGCATTTGAACGCCTTATCACTCCGTCGAGATGACTCGAAGGGCTTCACAGGGATTTTTCTGTAGTGTGCAGTGACCGTGTGTTTTGCAGGCAAATGCGGCAGCCAATTTGAGCACAGCAACGTACACACAAACAGTCAGGGAGTGAATGATGGACTGAAACACTGGGCAGGACACAGGCTCTCTCATTACCCACAGAGAAGTCTGTGCATTTTGCAACTAATGCTCTGCACAGAAGCCTCCAGACAGACAGGAAACACATCCAACAAGGAAAAGCATCACTGGCTTCATACAGTAAACCTCACACAAGTCGTATCAGTTGGGACCGTACATTTAATATGACTTATGCAAAGTATGAGTTATGTCAAACTTGCATAGAATATAACCTCTTGAAATGGACTTGGGCAGATGTACAATTTAGGCCATTGGACAATTTATACAGATTAGAATCTTTGCACTTGATATAATGTCTTATCACGTCGTTGAGACGTCTCAAAGTGCTTCAAAGCAGATCAGACTTATGCGAGTTTTACTGTATTTGCGACACAAAATGTCACTTTTGTTTCATACTCGGGCTGCTATTGTCAGTAACCTGCCAGGCATCTTTTAACCCCTCGGCATCTTGTCCGTTCCCCTCCCTCCCCTCTCCCCCCCACCCCCCCTCAACCCCTGCTCCCCTGTGCGCCCCCATGCCCCTTGCCTGGGCCAGGACAGATCACAACGGCACAAGCAAATGGCACGCTGCCAGCCTCAAAAGAGATGTAAAAGGATGTCACTGATTATTACATCTTGAACAGTTTCCAAGTGACAAAGTGTCTTGAAGTGCCTGGTTTGCTTAGCATTAAGGAGAGCTCAGCCATCAAAGGCTGTTTGTTGCATGTTTCAGTGATGAATTGAAGAGGAGAGAAATGGAGATCCAGGAGTAGTTCACGGCTTCTACAACAACAACAACAACAACAAGATTCCATTTATAGAGCGCCTTTCATGTCGGGAGGACGTCCCAAGGCGCTAATCTATAACGGAACCTTGATAATCCACCACGTTGGAGGGGGCTCTGGTGGATAATTAAAACTGTCCATTATTCTCCCGCAAAATACAGTCACTCCACTTTACGATATATTCCGTAAAATGTCAATGACGTGATAAGGTGCGTCAAATCCTTTCGAATGCAAGGATTATTATTGTTATTATTGTGATTATTATTCTCTTCTTATCCCTGTTTTTCGTTTGATTCGCTATCCAGCTCTGTCCGTTCACCTTATTCCCTCTCCCGAGAGGAACTCAAGTTTCTTGAGATTTTTCGAGGTAAAAAATTTGAATTTTGAGATTTTAAAATTCACGTCTCTCTTCTCTCTCTCTCTCCCCCCCATCCCCCCCCCCCCCCCCCCCCCCCCACACACACACACTCCAAATCCCCCAGACTGATTTGATACATGCAAAATCTCTTTTTTTTTAAAAAAAGGGGGGGAATTAGAGGGAAAAACATTAAAAAAAAGACAACGAGACAAACTTTTAAAAACCTGTGACTTTGTTTCTGTCCTGAAATGGGATACGTTGAAGGCAGCTATGAATTGGCCACACTCAGGGATTCATTAAACCCTGACATTAATTACATTTACAGAAATGTGGTTTCAGATGTGCTACACTGAGTCCAAAACAGTTATATAAATAATTGGACACTGATATAGACTGGATGGCTGTTTCACTCCCCCTCCTCTCTCTCTCTCTCTCTCTCTCTGCTCAATCGTACATTCATTAAACTCCATCTCTGATCCCTGACCCTCACATTCCAGAGGAGGGGAAGAGAGGAGGGGGTTCACTTACCCCCAGACAGGGGCAATGTATTAAATACCTGCCCTCACATTCCTACTGTGGCACTTCAGGGACAGACACATCCCCCAAAAGATGCACTGAGCAGTTTGGAGGGGGAACAGAATAGAAACCTTTGTCCCAATTTGAGTCCCTTATTGAGAGCCACAGAAACTACTCAACAGTTTTTTAAAGGGACTGCTTCTTGCCCTCTGCTCTGGGCAGGTTCTCTGCGCTGCTCATTGGATTCCCAAGACCTGAAAATATCAGAAAAACTCCTTTACTTTTTTTTTGTTGATTTAAAAGGGCTGTTGAGAGTTTGGGTTGAGTTGAGAGTCAGGACCAGTGTTTTTGCACTCACACACCCACACACCCACACACCTGTGCCACGAACCCTCCTGTGGAAAGGTGCTCCTGCTGTTGCTGCCATCAGTTCCTCGCCCCGACTCCACGCGGATCTCCTGCCGGGTTTCAGTGCTCTCAGCCCGGATCAGGTGAGTGGGATCCCCCGCTGGAGAGAGAAAGAGTATCGATTCGTCCTCACAATCTCTGCTCATCGCCTCCACTGGGGGATAGAAGACAAAAAAAAAAGTGACATAACATATATTTAATACGTATATTCTTTTTTTATATATAAAAAAAGTGTTTTACCTGTTAATTGATGGATGATCTTAAAAGATGATCTTAATCATCACATTCCCAGAAAAATTGTACCAATTGTTTTTTTTGATCAGTTAATGCAACTTTATTTTGGGGGGAGAAGATCCTGCTCTTATTTTTGTTGGAAATATAATACAATTTAAAAGGAATTTTAAATTGGAATAATCTGGGGGGAGCTGTAGGAGAGAATTCTTGTAAGTCACTTAAGTTTATTTTGTTTTGACTCATTTTTTTTATTGGAATATTACTTCAGTGCATTGTAATAATATTAATATTCCAGGCATTTTATAGAGTGCCTTATCACATCATTGAGATGTCTCAAAGCGCTTCACGGAATATGTCGTAAAGTAAATGGACCTTATATTTTTGATCTCCTACTCAAGCAAATCCAGGAACGTAGAAACTGCACATCCATCATAGTATATCAGTGTAATTTTAGCGGAAAAAATAGGATTATTGAATGAAGTTATTGTACTGTTTGCACAGATCGAAAAATAATTAAATCACCCGCAGGAGATATAGCTGAGGAGATGTCTGTTATTGGGAACAAATGTTAAGAATTCGGTGACACATGAGTGAAGCTGTAGATTTTTAAACCTAATAATAATCATAATCATAATTAATAATAATCACGTCTTTGAGACATTTCAAATCGCTTCACAGAATATACTGTAAAGTGGAGTTGAGTGACTGTTTTTTGTTAACTTGTCACCTTGAACAATCTATCCAAAGCATCTAAATAACCATAGCATTTCGTTTCAGATTGATGGCTGGTGCAGAGGTGTTTATGTAAAACCACGAGCACATCTCAGTCCAGTCCAGTAGCGCTTTCTTTTTTAAATAAATGTGCATTTAAATTGGTAAATAATGGCCCCACCAACCTGCAAAAGTAGAGCACAAAACGTGCATTAATTATACTTGTTCTGCATTTATTGTAATTGCTGAATTGCTATAACAAAAAGATTGGCTGGTTGGCGGGCTATATTAATAATAATAATAATCCTTGCATTTGATACAGCGCCTTATCACGTTGTTGAGACGTCTCAAAACGCTTCGCAGAGTATACTGCAAAGTGAAGTGACTGTGTATTTTGTGGGCGAAACGCGGTAGCCAATTTTGTACTATTCTTATGTGAATCGGCTCCTTTTTTTGCTTGCAGCCAGTCTACCAGCCTGCCGTCTGACTGACCCCTTTGTTGCTTAACCAATGCCTTCAGAAGCATTATTGAAGGATTATTATTATTATTGTTATTATACTCGCCAATGCTAACGGGACCTTTGAGTCCTAGCTGAACACAGGCAGAGTTGGGGAGTGAGAATGGCAGTGTCACAGGTTTCCAAGCTCGCTGCACAGAATATCTGAACTTTTTATAGTAATAATAATAATCCTTGCATTTGATATAGCGCCTTATCATGTCTTCGAGATGTCGCAAAGCACTTTACAGCGCGGGCGAAACACGGTACCAATTGCACACAGCAGCGTCCCACAGTTCCTTTAATAGAAAGTGGGTGAGGTGGGGGGTGGGGGAGAGGAAAAGTCTGAGTAACTATCAAATTCATCCCCTTTCTGCTCTGTTTTACTCTCCACTGTCTGATACAGGTATATCCCGGCATAGCGAAGCCTTGGGCAAGTTTCCTTACTCCACACGTCTAATAATAATCCCTCCAAAACAAAAATAATAATAAATTGGTCATTTTCAATTCACGACTGTTTGTGGGACATTGCTGTGCGCAATTGGCTGCCGCGTTTCACCCACAAATATACAATCAATTCACTTTGCAGCAAATTCTGTGAAGCATTTTGAGACGTCTAGAAGACGTGAAAAGCGCTATATCAAATGCAAGGATTATTATTATAGCAATATCCAATTTAATATCAATAATATTGAGATATTATCATAATATAATATGAATAAATAATATTTAGACTCCAGCAGTTATCCTGATAGACTTGGCTCTTGCCGACATGCGCCTAATACTTTCTGGAATAAGCAATGGCTTTCGAATTGCATTGTGAGAATTAAGATTGGTTCACACTGTTACTGCGTGTGATGTTACATCTTAAGGCCACGGCCTTAAGTTCTAAGAACATGAGGATTTCTGTGCGCTCCCTCTGCTCGACGGGCACTTGCTGGCTTCATGCCCCATGCCCCGTCCTGCCAGTCACACCATTGGCGGTTGGGCCCTCAACTCTTCTGCCCCAACCTTCTGGAACTGCAAATAATTTGGTTGCTCAATCCACGACTGTTTGTGGACACGCCGCTGTATGCAATTGGCTGTTGCGTTTCGCCCAAAAATACACAGTCACTCCACTTTACAGTGTATCCTGTGAAGCGGTTTGAGATGTTTCGAAGACATGTTTTACAGGCAGCACCTGGCTTGTACAGGGTGATCAAAAAGACCTGATATCTACCCTATTATCTAAAACCCTCCTAAAATATCATAATTTCTCTAAGATTTATTAGACATTGTAACGGTATCATGACTTTTTGGTCACCCTGTATATAAATATATATAGTTCAAGGTGTCACAACCTTGTGGTGCAACTTACTGCAGTTTATCGGCTCCCGGTGTCCCAGCCAACAATCTCTCAACTAACAATTGGTCACTCAATCCACGGCTGTGGGTCGCTGCTGTGCGCAATTGTGCTGTGGTGTTTGCCTACAAAATATACAGTCACTCCACCTTACAGTAAATCCTGGGAAGCACTGTGAGATGTCCTTCTGACGGGATAAGGCTTTATACCAAATGCAAGTATTATTATTGATGTTGTCATAAATCTGACAGTTTGCCAGAATTCGGTCTGATCTCGAGGCACAGGACGGTTTGACACGGCTAAACCACAGCAGGAATCCAAGCCTCTGGAGTTACTCAACACATCACTGGGGAAATCGCATCATGTGCCAAATGCACGCACACACACACTCACACGCACTCACACACAGGCACTCAAGCACGCACACGCATGCGCTCACATGCACTCATACACAAACATGCATTCACAAATGTGCTCACATATACACACACATGCACTCACACACGCGCATGCACACACGCAGACATACACACGCACACAAAATGTTTGTGACAAATACCGTTTGTGTATTAAAGTGCCAACGCTGCTTTGACAGCTAGCGAGGCCGGTGGGGGAGCTGAGAGGCTGATAGTTGCTCAATGCCAGTTTGCCACAAATTGCTTTGCGCAAAATGGCAGCCGGGTTCGCTAGTCACAAAACACACAGTCACTACACCTCACAGTAAAATCCGACCAAGGGCTTTGAGACGTCCTCCCAACTTGAAAGTTGAAATTCAAATGCAATATTATAATAATATTATAATAATTATAACAATAATATTCACTGATCCCTGGGTGGGAGAGTGGAGGGTAATGAAATGAAAGAAATGACCAGTTTTTAATTGAGTCAAGTTATGGTAAATGTTCCCTTGCAAAAACTTGTTTTTAACTTAAGATTTGTTCGCATTACAACACGTGGTTTATATATAATATATATTATATACACGCGCACTGGGTTCAGGTGCACAAAACCCTGTGGCGCTACTTACTGTAGTTTATCTGGCTCCTGTCTGTTGAGCTTTGACACCCACGCTGTGTGGATAGCTGGAGGTCTCCTGACATTGTGGCGGGGGGACAGGGGGGCCGAGAGGGGGCGAGGATGGGGCGAGGAGGTCTTTATGTCTCTCTCACACACCGGTGGACTGGGAATGGCTGGTTACCCCCCTCTGACTACTGCAGGGCTGGGGCTATGCAGTCTGGAGGGTTCAGCTCTGTGATCTGTTTGCACGGCCTCTTCCACCTGCTCAGCATTCCGCCTGTTCTCACGCTCCCCCCGCGGTGTGCAAACAAGGCTATCAGGAGAGGGCGAGTGAGGAGAGAGAGCGCGAGCCAACACCTTGAAAAGAGAGTGCGGCACAACAAGAGAGACAGGGAACTAGAGGGAGAAACACACACAGAGATATATTCACACTGACATAGATACACACTAACACACATACATGTACCAATGTCAGTGCGAATACATACATAAGTACATAGCTCTGCATATACATACGCACATACGTACATGCATACCTGCCTACACACACACACAAATACATATACACACACAGGGACATGGAACGTCCTGCTAAGAAGAGACAAGAAGCCACGGAAAAAGAAAGAATAAAAAGAAATGTGGTCACTCAATCCACGACTGTTTGTGCGACACCGCGTTTCACCCACAAAATACACAGTCACTCCACTTTACAGTATATCCTGTGAAGAGCTTTGCGACGTCTCAATGACATGATAAGGTGCTGTATCAAATGCAAGAATTATTATTGATAGAGGCTTGAAGGGATGTGGGGAGGGCAGGGCAGTGGGATTGAATGAACAGCTTGCTCTGAGAGATGGAAGAGACTCAATGGGCCGAATGGCCTCCTTAACCGCTGTAAATGTCTACGATTCCTTGAGGGGAGGGGGTTGGTGGGGTGTGGGAGGGGAAGAACAGGGACAGTGTAACCCACTGGATCAATGTGAGGTTTGATTGACGGCAGTGTAACCTGCCCCCACCCTCCCTGCCCCCACTCCCCCGGCGATACCTGAAATCTATCTGTTGAACCCGGGAGCCGAGATTATTGAGTAAATGACCAGTGTGTGAGAGCACAAAGCCCTGCCTTTGTGCACAGGCAGCAACTGACCCAGGTTTTACAGGAAACTTGAGACAAGTCTCCTGAGCCTCGCTCAGAGACAGCGCAAATCCTTCAGTGATTTGTAATGGAAGCAGCCAACCTTAAACCAGCGGTGCTGAACAGTGCTCTTTTCACTCAGACGCACTCAGACTCCTGACTCGAGCGTTGAGAATAAAACACAAAGTGCGTTAAGGATTTTTTTTTTTGCACCTCAGGTAATTGCAAGCTCGGAATATAGATCCCACGTGAGCCTGGCTCAGTCGCCAGCGCTCAGGATTCTGAGGGGGAGGGTTATGGGTTCAAGCCCCCACGTCGGGAATTTTGATCTTGTCGGAGGTGCCAAGAGAAGGGACTTTCTCTCTCTCTCTCTCTCTCTCTCTCCCGACGACCAGGCCAACAATCACCCAGATAACTCATCCCCCAAATCACTCATCCGCTTTGTGGCTGTTCGTGGAATGTTGCTGCATGCACAGTGGATGAGGCGTTTGTCTGCGAAACACACAGTCACTACACTTCCAAGTAAACCTTGCACTTTAAGACATCCTGCTGCTGTGATAATGTGTTAGATCAAATGCGAGGATCATTCAGAAATAAAACACCATGTTTATGTTTAAGAAGGCTGTGTTCTCAGCCACTGCACCCCGAACCTCTCTCTCCATCCCTCCACCTTGCCCCCTCCCTCCCCACCTTGAAATCCAGCCTAAAGACCTTCCTTTTTGATCATGCTTACGATCACCTCCCCCCTCCCTCTGGCTCGTGGTCGGACTCCGCCACTGTGAAGCGCTCCTACACGAAGGGCGCTATATAAATGCACGTTGTTATTGTTTAACCTTCTTGTGGTTAGGGACTCTAATTGGGGAGAGAGAGAGCGAGAGCATTGCCTTCTGCAGCCTCCAGTGAGGAAAGACCTTCACAAACCTCTGTTCACTGTTCATGTGTCTTTACATGTGGCTTCACACGGGGTCAAACAACCGACCTGGTGTTCAGCTGATTTAAGTCATTAATTCAGTAACTTGCTCCGTCCTCGCCACGAGACACACAAGCCAACTGAGCCAGTCACCCCCCACCCCTCAACCGCATGGAAACCCAGAGAGCGGCTGCGTTCAGAGAGAGCAAAACCCCATCGAATATTAATACAGTCACCACAGGACGCAAACCCCTGTGAGCAGGATCTTACTAATTGGATTTCCTCTGATCAGACTGAGTACCGAGCAGTTAAACTCACCTGATTTGTGGGTTCCAGCCTGAATGAAGCATTACTTATGAAGGAGCATCAGCCTGGACTGTGATCTTAAGCCTCCAAGTAGAGTTTGAGGCTTTAAACCCATCATTTGGGCGAGTGTGGCAACAAGTTTGTTCTAATTTCTAATCATAATCCTTTGAGACGCCTCAAAACGCCTCACAGAATATACTGTAAAGCCTGTGGGCAAAACACAGCAGCCAATTGCACACAGCAGTGTCCCACAAACAGCCGTGGATTGAGTCACCAAATTATGTTTTAAAATTTATTTAATTATTATTTTTTTTCGAGGGATTATTACCCTCGGAAAAGCAATCCGCCAATCGACTGGCGACTGGGTTCCTACTTACTGCTGTGTAAACAGAGGCATGTATGTGGAATAAGGAAACTTGCCTAAGGTTTTGCCCCGTCTGGGAATCGAACCCGGGTCCTCTCGCTTGCGAGGCGAGTGCTCTAACCACTACACTACTGCCTTAATGTAATGGGAAAGGCAATGGGGAGGATGTGTGTGGGTGGGGGGGAGATAAGTTCTCAGGTTTCCAATGCTAACACCCTCCCCTCTTCTCCCCAGTGGTTTGCCTCGACTCCTCTTGGACAAGCGGAGACGTCGGTTTGGGAAGATGGAACTGCCGTTGGGAAAACTGGGATTGCTCCTGATAGCAGGAATTCTCTCCATGAGCGGCATCGAGGCGGCTCAATCCAGACCAGCGAGGAACAGACTGATTCCAGGTGAGGAGGAGGAACATAATAATAATTATAATAATGCTTGCATTTGATATCGCGCCTTATCACGTCTTCGAGACGTCTCAAAGCTCTTCACAGAATATACTGTTGAGTGTAGTGACTGTGTATTTTGTGGGCATACTGTGGAACTAATTGATGTATGGCCATGTACCGTGCCAGCTTTATTGAGACATGGTGCAGAGAAGGTTGGCATGACCGTTTGCTAACCCTCTCCCCAAATCTGGATCTCCCTTCCAGAATAGGGGGGGCATCAGATTACAATTAGAGCTGATTTAATTTCGGCGTGAAATCAGGAAGCACTTTTTCACACAAAGAGCAGTGGGAATCTGGAACTCTCTCTCTCTCTCTCCCCCCAAAAACGCTGTGGATTATGGCTGGATCCATTCACATTTTCAAGACTGAGGGGATAGATGTTTGTTAGGTCAGGGTATCGAGGGATATGGGGCAAATGCAAGTAATTGGAGTTGAAGTACAGATCAGCCATAGTCTAACAGAATGATGGAACAGGCTCGAGGGGATGAATGGCCTCCTCCTGTTCCTATGTTCCTCAATTTCTTTGCCTCATGTCGTTTCTCCCTGAAGTGAGAACTCTCTTGGAAACCTTTCTTTTTGATCGTGCCTTTGGCAAACATGCTCAACCTCCACCCACCCCTGTCTGTTAATCCTGTTTGTCTTTGCAAAGTGTTTTGATATATTATCCTTCGTCCTAAAGTGCATAAAGCCATCAAACCTGTTCCTCCAGTTTATGGTAAATTGTTTAATCCAATTTCCCTCTCTTTCCTCTGTATCTCCAACACACCTGTACTTCCCAAGTATCTATTACAATAATACAACATTTAATACAGCGCCTTTCATGTCAGGAAGGACGTCTCAAAATACTTCCCAGGATTTACTGTCAAGTGTAGTGACTGAGTTTGTAAGCAGACTCCCTTTTAAAGGGGATTCTGCCTCTAAGGTCTCCCGTTCCACTCTCTCACAACCATGAAACAAATTCTGAATTTTAACTAGCGTGGTGCAGCTGCAATTTTAATAATAATAATCCTTGCATTTGATATAGCGCCTTATCACATCTCAGAGCTCTTCACAGAATATATTATCAAGTATAACAACTGGGTATTTTGTGGGGAAAACCCAGCAGCACAATTGCTCACAGCAGCGTCCCACAAGCAGTTGTGGAAGATATTTTAAGAGTGTTTGAGACTGATGTTTGTCACAAGCTTAAGGCTAAGCTTATTGCCGTCTCTCCTGACACTGTGACGTGATCTGGGGCCATTATGTTTCAGGTGCAAAGTGTTCCCCGGGCCCCACTGACCTGGTGTTCATCATCGACAGCTCCCGCAGTGTCCGACCATTCGAATTCGAGCAGATGAGGAAATTCATCGTTGACATGATCGATTTCTTGCACGTGGGGCCTGAGGCCACCAGGGTGGGGCTGGTTCAGTACTCCAGCCAGATCCAGAACATCTTCTCCCTCAAGACCTACCAGAACAAAGTGGACATGATCAAGAGCGTCAACGAGTTCATCCCGTTGGCCCAGGGCACCATGACAGGCCTGGCCATCCAGTACGCTATGAACATTGCCTTTACCGAGGCGGAGGGAGCCCGACCGCTCAGGCAACAGATCCCCAGGGTGGCCATCATCGTGACGGACGGGAGGCCCCAGGACCGTGTCACTGAGGTGGCGGCCAGGGCCCGGGAAGCCGGCATCGAGATCTATGCGGTGGGTGTGCGCAGAGCGGAGATGAGCTCCCTCAGGGCCATGGCCTCCCCTCCGCTCGAAGAGCACGTCTTCTTGGTGGAGACCTTCGACCTGATCGAACAGTTTGCAAAGACCTTCCAGGACAAGCTGTGTGGTGAGTAACAACAACAACAACAATGTGCAGATATATCGCGCCCCTTCACACGGGGTAGGGTCCCGAAGCGCTTCACAGTGGCGGAGTCTGACAACAAGCCGGAGGGAGCAGGAGTGGGGAGGTGGCTGTAAGCACAATCAAAAAGGAAAATGTTTAGGAAGGATTTGAAGCCGGGGAGGGAGGGGGCAAGGCGGAGGGATGGAGGGAGAGAGTTCCAGAGTTTCGGGGCGCAGGGGCTGAAGGCGCGGAGGAGACGAATCCAGAAAGAGGGAAGACGGATAAGAAAGTCAACCTTACAATTCCGCCATTTTGTCTTTAAACTTGAATGTGGCGAGGAATTCTGAGAAAATTCTGACAATAATAATCATAATAATAATCCTTGCACTTGATACAAAGCCTTATCACATCGTCGAGACGTCTCAAAGCGCTTCACAGGATATACTGTAAAGTGTAGTGACTGTGTATTTTGTGGCCCAAACGCGGCAGCCAATTGCCAGCAGCAGTGTCCCACTAACACCTTTGATATAAACGTTTTGAAAGTAGATTTTTATCTAATCTTTTTTTACTAGAGTAGATAATTATCACAGGTGACAAAATTAAAATTTCAGACTGCACAAAACTGTGGAAAAATTCTTCAATTTGGTTTCAATTGAACGACGGTTCGTCTTAAGAACTTGCGGAAATCTCACTTCCAAATCACGAATGAAATGAAGAATTATTATCAGGTTCGGAAAGCGATCTGCCGATCGACTAACAACCGGGTTCCAATTTACTGCTGGGTAAACAGAGGCGTGTGTGTGTGTACGCGCGTGTGTGTGTGGATGGGGTGGGGGGGGGGGAAGGGATAAGGAAACTTGCCTAACATTTCTCCCTGCCCGGGAATTGAACCCAGGTCCTCTCGCTGAGGCTATGGGACTTCTCACCTTTATTTCCTTCTCCCCAGGTCAGGACCTGTGCGCTCAGGGGAACCACGGCTGTCAGCATGTGTGTGTGAGCTCCCCCGGCTCCTATCACTGTGTCTGTCGTGAGGGCTTCATCCTGAACCAGGACAAGAAGACGTGCAAAGGTCTGGTGGTTCCACGTGCAAACACGCGGTTTATATGTTGTATCGCCAGACACCGAGGATCTGCTCCAGTTAACACGCGCTTTGTCACACGTTCCCACCGACGCTTTGATGGGATTTGAGCTTCGAGGAAAAATCGCCGTTCACATTTGTAGGCAACAGGAAATGAAAACAATTCATTTAAAGTTACTTTTACTACAGCAATTGTTTAGTTTTATTTCCATTAGATGGAGAGTAACTGTATGTGTATATATATATAGAGAGATAACAACAACAATTTGCATTTGTATAGCGCCCCTCGTGTTGAGTAGTGTCCCAGAGCGCTTTATTATTTTACATTCTTGGAAAGAAAAATATATTTCTATAAAAATATATTTATAACTTTTTTTTATAAAAAATATATTTATAAAATAACATTCAGCAAAAAACATATAATATATAGAGGCCGGGACCTCTCTGAATTGGAAACCAGCTGCTTTCAAGGTAACATTAAAATAATCCTTACATCGGATCACGTGGTTCAGACACCTCAAAGCTCTTCACAGGATTTTATAATAATATTTAAAAACATCCTTGCATTCGATGGAGCACCTAATAAAAATAATAATAATAATAATAATCCTTGCATTTGGTATAGCGCCTTATCATGTCTTCAAGATGTCTCAAAGTGCTTCACAGAATATACTGTAAAGTGTAGTGACGGTATATTTTGTGGGTGAAACGCGGCAGCCACTTGCACACAGCAGCGTTTCACAAACAGTCGTGGATTGAGTGACCAAATTATTATTATTTGCTTTGAATGAATTATTACCCCCGGAAAAGAGATCCGCCAATCGACTAACAACCGGGTTCCCACTCACTGCCGGGTAAATAGAGGCGTGTGGGTAAGGAAACTCGCTCAACATGCCCGGGAATCAAACCCCAGGTCTCCCGCTTGCGAGGCGAGTGCTCTAACCACTGAGCTACAGGACTCCATAAGCCAAGACTTTGAGACGTCTTAAAGTGCTTCACGAAAGATACTGTAGAGTGTAGTGACTGTATACTTTGTGGGAGAATGTGACAGCCAATTTGCGGACAGCAAAGTCCCACCAATAGCCATGAAATTGAACGGGAAGATTGTTACCCCTGCGGATTATTGGCTGGAGTCTTTCCTAAAGCATTGCGACTCATCACAGCTCTGTTTCCCTGCAGCCATCGATCTTTGCTCCACTGGGGATCATGACTGTGAGCAGATATGCCTGAGCTCTCCTGGCTCCTACCGCTGCCAGTGCCGAAAGGGTTTCACCCTCAACCGTGACCAAAAGACCTGTTCCCGTGAGTGCTCACCAACAAGACAATGACCATCTTTGAGTTCAATACAGAGCTTAGATTGGAATCAGGAATATAGGAACAGGAGGAGGCCATTCAGCCCCTCGAGCCCATTCTGCCATTCTGTTAGCTCAGGGTGGCTGCTGAGGGCCGGATGCCCTATTTGAGAGACATCTGCGGGCTGCTTACGCAATAATTTTGTGCTTCCCTTCCAGAAACATAATAAAACAACATTTATGAGTTACGGAGTGAGGGGGTGGGCAAGCTGACATGGAGTGAGGGGGGTGGGCAAGCTGACATGGAGTGAGGGGGGTGGGCAAGCTGACATGGAGTGAGGGGGTGGGCAGGCTGACATGGAGTGAGGGGGGTGGGCAAGCTGACATGGAGTGAGGGGGGTGGGCAAGCTGACATGGAGTGAGGGGGTGGGCAGGCTGACATGGAGTGAGGGGGTGGGCAGGCTGACATGGAGTGAGGGGGGAGGCGGGGGGATGAAATCTGCCAGTGGGACCACCTTCATGGCTGATCTGTGCCTCGACTCCAATTGGAGGCCTTTGTTCAGGCTGATAATCCTCCGTCTGTTGTTTCTGATTCTGTAAAGCCATCGACTTCTGTGCTGATGGGACCCACGGCTGTGAGCACATCTGCGTCAGCTCCCCCGGCTCCTACCACTGCCGCTGCCGAGCCGGCTTCACGCTCAACCAGGACAAGAAGACCTGCACCAGTGAGTACTGGGCGCCACACCTCCAAATAACACCACCGAACATTAGGCTATTACCTCCCCCGCTCGCCAGCCTGCGCATAACACTCTCCGGCATTGGGTAAGGTGAGTGCAGTCTCTCCGAGAGAGAGAAAGAGAGAGAGAGAGAGAGAAAGAAAGAAAGAGAAGTGAGATGCATGGAACTCCCTGTTCAATGGCAGGAACAGAGGAGACCATCCAGCCCATCAAGCCTGTTCCTGCCAGTTTGGATTCGACACTCTTTTAAGCACAGCACTGGGTTTCCACATGGGTCAGACACCCGGCTGTTCACGGTGACGGGTTTCCATGTGTGTCAGACCCCCGGCTGGCCAAACAAAAACAGTAGCTCCTAAGCTCGGAGCCCCATTTCCTTTAGACCAGGTGCTTTGCCGTCACCTCACTGACTGCTGGCTGACAGCTGTGTGAGTGAGTGACCCTCCTCTCGTTACAGTGGTGGATTACTGCTCGTTCGGGAACCACAGCTGCCAACACGAGTGTGTGAACATCCTGAGCGGCTATTTCTGCAAGTGCCGGGAGGGCTTCGAGCTGCAGGGAGACGGGAAACGCTGCAAAGGTAGGAACGTGGGGCGAGTAGGAGGTCCTCAGCCCATCAGCCTGTTCCTGTCGGCTGATTGGATCGCCAGATTCTTTCAATCCCAATTTCCCCACCATTTCTCTTCATCCCATCACTCCTCAGGTATCTATCCACCTCCCTCTTTAATCATCTCCATCAACTCTGGCCTCCCTGGGGCAGCCCATTCCATGTCTCACCAAACGTCTCTTGGGGGTGAGGGGAAGGTGGGAGGAGGTGAAAAGTCCTTCATACACGAGGCAGGTTTCCCTGGGTGATGCGTTTCCAGGTTCCTTAATCTCAAGAACCCCGTTTGAAATTGCCGCGAAATTACCTACCGTCCCCACCCCCCACCACCTTGGCCCCCAACATGGCTGCTCAGTTTCCTGCCTGACATTAACTCTCTTCTGCATCGCAAGCTCTCGACGCGTGCAGCACCGTGGAGCACGGCTGTGAGTACCAGTGTGTCAGCACCCCGGGGTCTTACTTCTGCATCTGTCCCGAGGGAAGACAACTCAACCTGGATGGAAAGTCCTGCAACAGTGAGTTTCCGCTCTGTCCGTTTCATTCACTGTCCCCCAGGTCCAGGCCCGTGACCAGGCGAGGCTCCCGCTCACTGATATGAACAGCTAGTGGCAGGTCTGTTCAGGGGGCGCTGGGCTCGTGAATTGGGCCACAGGTTCTCGACCCCGTAAAGTCCTCCTCGTTGTGCATCTGCAGTGAGCTGCGGTGCAGACGGGACTTTCGGTGTCTTTTCCGGAGTCCAACAACACTCGCTCACGCGCACTCACTGGGATTTTACTGCGTTAACGGCAGCAATAGACAGGATACCTTTACTGTTGGCAACTCTGTTGGTGTGACTGGATCCTGAGCTCCATTGAAGGCCACGTTATCTGCCCAGAGGAGTAATTAACAATTTGAGGTTAAGGCCAGGACACTGGGGACTCATTTAAATCAGAGAATGGGCGATGTAATAGTAATTATAATAATAATAATCCTTGCATTTGATACAGTGCCTTATCACGTCTTCGAGACGTCTCAAAGCGCTTCACAGAATATATTATAAAGTGAATTGACTGTGTATTTTGTTGGCGAAACGCAGCAGTCAATTGCGCACAGCAGCGTCCCACAAACAGCCGTGGAGTGAGCCGACCAAATTATTATTGTTTATTTATTTTGCGGGGGGAGGATTATTACCCCCGGAAAAGCAATCCGCCAATCGGCAAACAACCGGGTTCTTGCCCACTGCTTGGCAAACAGAGGCGTATGTAAGGAAGTAAGGAAACTTGCCTAAGGTTTCGCTTGCTCCGGAGATCGAACCCAGGTCCTCTCGCTTACGAGGCGAGCGCTTTAACCACCTTCAGGCCTCCAGGGCTGTGAAGGGATGAAACCAGGAGGTCCTTCTTCATCCAAACTGATCTCGTGATGTCCTTCCAGAATGCAGCAAAGCCAACATTGACCTGGTCTTTGTCATCGACGGCTCCAAGAGCGTGAGGCCGCAGAACTTTGAGCTGGTGAAGGAGTTTGTGAACAACATCGTGGACGCGTTGGACATCTCGTCGCGGGGGACACGGGTGGGCTTGGTGCAGTACTCTAGCCGCGTGCGGACCGAGTTCCCGCTGAGCCTGCACGCCACTCCTGCCGCCGTCAAGAATGCGGTGAACGCCGTGGAGTACATGGAAAAGGGCACCATGACGGGCCTGTCCCTCAAGCACATGGTGGAGAACAGTTTCTCGGAGGCCGAGGGAGCACGGGCCAATGTCCCCAGGGTGGGCCTCGTCTTCACTGATGGCCGCTCGCAAGACAGCATCTCTGAGTGGGCCAGGAAAGCCAAAGAAGCCGGTGAGATGTATATATATATTTTTTTGCCCAACTGGGCAACTTCACACACGGAAACCCATCACCGTTGTCACTTGAGAGCACTATCTGGCCAGCTTTCCCGCTGCTTGTCCAGTGAGGACCACCCTAGCCCTCATACGCCAGTGAGATGAAAACCTCTTTTCAGATCCAGGGAGGCACAGTGGGGGTGGGGTGGGGTGGTGGGGGGTGGCGGTGGGGGTGGGAGGGAGCTGGATAATTTGGAGCCTGGGCCAACTGTCACCTCTCTCCTCCCCTGCTCCGCAGGGATCAGCATGTATGCCGTGGGCGTTGGCAAGGCGGTGGAGGACGAGTTGCGGGAAATCGCTTCCGATCCCGTGGATCAGCACTTTTTCTACGCCTCAGACTTCAACGCCATCGACCAGATCGCAGAGAGTCTGAAACTCAACATCTGTGAAGGTGCATTATTCCCCTCCCGATCAGTCTCTCTCTCTTCCACATTCCCTCGTTCACAAAACCCCCTCTTCTCTTCTTTTCACAATCCTGTCCCCCCACCCCCCCTTCTCTCTCTCTCTCTCTTGCATTTCTTCCGTTTGCCCACAAAAAACAGACATCACACTTTACAGTAAAATCCTGCGAAGTGCTTTGACACGTTCTGACAATGTGTGAAGGCGCTGTATTAAGTGCAAGGGTTAAGGGTTTTTATTGTAAACCAACTGTGTGTGGGAAGTTGCTGTGCACAAATTGGCTGCCACGTTCGATCACAAAATACTATCATTTATTATCTCCATCGTTTTCACTTTCGCTCTTCCCATCCTTGCATTCACTCGCCCTGTCCTTGCTTCTTTGCCTCTTTCTCTCTCTCTGTTTATCTGTTTCTCTTTCTCTCTTCCATTTCTCCCTCTCTCTCAAACCACAGGGTGTGTAAACCGCAATATCTCAGAAAAAAACGATTGAAAGTGAAACGCTGTAACAAAATTGTGAAGAGGAACTCTCTCTGACTCCTTCTCTCTCTTCCAGAGGAAGCCACCGGTCAGGAGACCATTAAAGATCCGTGTGCGTGTGAGACTCTGGTGGCCTTCCAGCACGACACCCTCTCCATGTTAGACGGACTTTCTGAGAAACATATCCTTTGGATTATGTAGAGTGAATACTGCGGGGGGAGGGGAATGGGTGGGGGTGGGAGGTCACACAGTCTGGGTCTGTTGGTACAAAACCCGGTCACTACACTTGACAATAATTACTCTGAAACCTTTTGCACATTTTGACGTCTAAGAGGCTATGGAAATGCAACTTGTTTCTTTCGTGTTCATTCATTTCTGGGGAAATTTGTGCTTGGCCCAGGAACGTACATCTGGGTCCACATCCATAACCCCGTGCATATAGAATTCCGAATGCCTCACAAGCAGTGACGGCCTTTTGCACGCTCAAAGGCAAAGCCTCCCTCATCCACCCCCTACTCTCTGGTTTTGGTTGTCATTTTGGCAGCTAGCCTTTAACATGGCTTGGCCAATAGGCCGGAGTTTGCCTGATTCCCCACCCCCCCACCCCCCACCCCTATTGAAGACAGGAGTCACTAATGATCACAAGTCGTCTTGAAGTTATGCCATGTTGTTATAATCACCGAATTCACAAAGATTTATCCTGTTGTAAGGTGCTGATGCTCGCTCTCCCCAATCCTCCATCGCTCTCTACCCATTCCCCCATCGTGTCCACAATCCTACAAGCCAACCCTAACTCATTAAGCTAAGGCTGGTTAGAACTTAAGGCCACAAGCTGTGGTTCCAACCTGTCGTTAGTCGATTGGCGGATCGCTTTTCCGGGGGGTAATAATTCCTTCCAAAAAAAACAATGCTAAATCGGTCACTCAATCCACCACTGTTCGTGGGACGCTGCTGTGCGCAATTGGCTGCTGCGTTTCACCCACAAAATAAACAGTCAAACCACTGTACTCTTGAAGACGTGATAAGGCGCTGTATCAAATGCGTGAGGCTTATTATTATTATCATCATATTGTTCCTTAACCCCAGCCACTGGCCCAAATGACGGTGAAACTCGAAGATTTGGAAAACAGGCTGCCAACTCAGTGACGCCGTACGTCTGGGGACTGACTCTGTGACACTAAGTGGATCTTCCCTCTCGTTCCCGTCTCATCGTAGCCAAGGAGGGATTTTTCCCAAATTGTATCTCAATACAGAACATGTTGTGTTTCTGGGATGCCTGTGTGTGTGTCTGTGTGTGTGTGTGTCTGTCTATGTGTGTGTGTGTGTGCGTCTGTGTGTGTGTGTCTGTGTCTATCTATGTGTGTGTGTGTGTCTGTGTCTATCTATCTATGTGTGTGTGTGTGTGTGTGTCTGAGTCTGTCTGTGTGTGTCTGTATGTGTGTCTGTCTATGTCTGTGTGTGTATCTGTGTGTTCCTGTTTCTACATTTTGGACTATCACGCTGTAAATTTCTAATCATCCTTCAGCTATTTAACAACACTGTTTAACCACGGATTGTGTTTGATGGGATCATTTTGTATGTACTGTATATCCTTTTTTAATTACAGTTGTGCTTTCCAAAGTTATTAACACGATTATTACACCAAAGATGCACAAACTAACGTTTTGCCAAGCTTCTAAGGAGTAATTTTTTTGGGGGTGGGGGCTGTCGGCCGGGCATCTGACACACGCAGAAACCCTTCACCGTTGCTTAAGAGTCTCCAAACCAAACTGAGAATTCCATGCATCCCAACTACACATGGAGATAGGTTGTTGGGATGGAATGCACACACTCTCCCTCTCTCCCCCTGGAGGGACACATCCTGTTTACCTGATTTTGGAGAGTATTAGGCGCAGGTTGGCGAGAGCCAAGGCTTGGGGAGGGAGCCCAGAGTGTGCGTTGGGGGTAACTGCTGGAGTCTAACCAGCTAGTGAGTACAGCTATGACCTGGTAGAGGCACAGATTACTCTCTTGTTAGTTATACTAACTTCCAGCACTAATAGAAGCCATTAGAGGGGGAGGATGCCTTTCCAATGACACATCCACAGACTCCAGATCGCAGATCAGCACTCAGCGCCTCCTGTTTGTGGCTCTCACAGGCTGAGTATCTTTATTCTGATCTGCCGCTCACTAGGTTAGGTGTTTGTTAGGTGAAATGTGCGGAGACAGAGAAAGTAAGCTTTTAGGGCATTCCCCTCTCCTCCCCACACCTGCCACCCAACCCCCCCTGAGACCCCCACTCCCCCCCCCCCCCCACACACACTCAATCCCCCCCATAACAAACTGGTTACAAGTTGAGAGGGGTATTATGGAACAGCTCATTGCTCTTGACACCCTAGTGATGGGCGTCCCTCAGATAAGGTGGGTGACATGGGGCACCTAGGATAGAGCACAGCCTTCAGACAGGGCAGAAACATAAACCAAAATAAAATTCACCCTAAATCTCAATCAGTTTCCATCTTAACATCAATTCAAGACAAAGCACGTGAGCAACATTATCAGCTGTCTGGTATGTAACTAAGGTTCTGCAGTGCATTATTCCTCCTCAATCACTCCTAGGCACTTTCATTTCATTTAACATCCTATTAGCCTTAGACATTACTCTTTCATTGTATGTTTTTAACGCTTTTGTATAATATCAGAACTGTTATAAGTAAATGTAATATGATTACATTTTTATATATAGATATATCTAAACGCTCGTGTATATATATCCACACTTTGATATCAAACATTCATTCTGTTAAAATAGTCAATCCACTTTACAGTGTATCCTGTGAAGCACTTTGACATGTCTCAATGAGGTGATAAGGTGCTGTATCAAATGCAAGGATTATTATTATTATTATTTACCGCATCAATTTGTTCTGCGTCAAATCACAAGGGACTAAACCTTTTCAAGTCATACTGACAGAGAGCGAAGTTTTGACTTCCCATGACAACAATAGCAACAACTTGAATCAAACCACAACCTTTCAGGTCAAAAATAAATATAATTGATTCGGAATAAAGCGAATGTTATTATCAGCAAATGCACCAGCTAATCTGTGCCTGTAACATCCTGCAATCAGAGAGGTGAGCAGCAGCCAATTCATTTGAATTCAGTGTAAATGTGGAGATCCAGCCTCTTTACGTCCATCTGACTCACTGTGTGCAAATTGGCTACTGCGCTCACAAATACACAGTCACTACACTTTACAGTAAAATCCTGTGAAGCACTTTGAGACGTCTCGATGATGTAATAAGGCGCCGTATCAAATGCATGTTTTATAATGATATTACATTATGAATCCCTACCAAATGCTTCCTGTTCTGTATCGGAACTATTCTCAACGTGGGTAAAAGGAATCTGATAGATGGATTAATCTGTTACACAAAATGGTTGTCAATTGTGCTTAAAAATTGTATAACTTATTAAAGAGGAAATTAGAAAGAGAATGTGGACCTTGGTTTCTGATCTTTCTTTTCTTCCCGATCACATTCCATCTTTTTTTCACAGAACTCGATTCAATGGATTGCGAGGCTCCTACAGAGGGTTCAAGAGAACCAGATTGTAATATTTTTAAATTATTTTGTTTCGCCCACAAAATACACAATTAATTCACTTTACAGTATAGCCTGTGAAGCACTTTGAGACATCTCGACGACGTTATAAGGCACTGTATCAAATGCAAGGATTATTATTATTGTTTTAAGAAGAGTGAACTGAGGGAGCGCAGGACAAACAATGGGGGAGCCTTGCACTTTTGGTTTGGTTTAGAACAAGACCTTTAAGACATGTTAGCTGGAGGTTTGGGGAGTTTTTTGCCACAATGAACAGAAAGCTCTGTGGTACGCAGGGATTCTTCGCTCATGTCAGGTATGTTGTGGATTTGGAATCAGACGCTGTTCATTACACAACTGAAACCCACCAAAACCATTCATTTCCATTCATTCCCACACCACTCCAAGTGGCCACAGAGCCAAGCTTAATATTTAAAGCCTGAAGTTCTCTCCAAGTGAAAATTCTTTACTGATTACTAAACCATCAGACTTCATCTCATTTTTACCCGGAGAGTTGTTGCGGTCTGGAACGCACTGCCTGAAAGGGTGGTGGAAGCAGATTCAGATAACAGCTTTCAAAAGGGAATTAGATAGGTAATTAAAAAGAAAACATTTGCAGGGTTATGGGGTAAGAGCGGGGGAGTGGGATTAGTTGGGTGGCTCTTTCAAAGATCTGGCACAGGCACAATGGGCTGAATGACCTCCTCCTGTGCTGTAAAATTCTATGAATTTCACCTGGAAATACCAGCCCAGCACTGACATTTGTTCACGTCTCTCTTTCCCTCTTAAACTTGGAGTGGTTGGGAGTGGAAAAGGTTCCAGTCACTTCCAGTTCAGGTAAAGCTCCCTCTAAACTCTCTCTAAATCACTCCCGACAACGCACCTACTCCTCAGCAGTTTTGAACAGTGACTTTTTGTACTTCTGTTTGAGACGTCTAGAAGACGTGAAAAGCACTACATCAAATGCAAGGATTATAATTTATAATATAAAAGGTCTCTTACTGCCAGTCTCCAGCAGTAATTAATCGGCCAGACATACACCTGGGGAGACCGTGGGAGATGATGACCTGATATTTGTCTCGTGCAGGTCGAATTGGAGTTCTTCCAGACAATCATCAGGCATCAGCCTGGCTCAGTCGGTAGCACTCTCATCTCGGAAGGCCTGGATGAGTGCATATTTCCTGCAGCTGAATGTCTCCCTTGTATCTCCCTACCTCTCCGACCTGCTTACCCCCCCACTCCACCACCTGCTGCCTCCACTCGGCTGGCTCTGGTCTCCGATTTGTCCCCTCTGCCCCCTATCAACCTGTCCTGTCACCTTCAAAGATCTGTGTAAGTGAACCCCCGGCCTCTCTACTCCTGAACTCCCTTTAAAACTGTACCATTTAATGTATATTGCCTCTCCTCATTCTTCCTCCCAAAATGCATCAGCTCACATTTCTCTGCATTAAACTTCATCTGCCATGTGTCTGCCCATTTCACCTATCTGTCTATAATAATAATAATAATCCTTGCATTTGATATAGCGCTTTTCACATCGGGAGGACGACGTCCCAGAGCGCTTCACAGAACACACTGTAAAGTGAATTGACTGTATTGGGACGTCCTCCCGACGTGAAAGGCGCTCTATAAATGGAATCTTGTTGTTGTTGTTGTATTTGTGGGCGAACGCGGCAGCCAATTGCACACAGCGATGTCCCACAAACAGTTGTAGATTGAAAATGACCAATTTATTATTGGTTTTGGTTTTGGAGGGATTATTATTAGGCTCTGTGTGGAGTAAGGAAACTTGCCCAAGGTTTCGCCCTCTGCCTGGAACTGAACTCAGGTCTCTTCGCTTGCAAAGCGAGTGCTCTAACCACTGAGCTACAGGACTCCACGTCCTATGTCCTCCGGCAGTCTGCTACCACGCTCCTCACTGTTTACTACGTTCCCAAGTCTTGGGTCATCTGTAACCTTTAAAATGTTGCTCTCTATACCCAGGTCCAATTCAGTTATGTGTATCAAAAAGACCCGTTGGGGGACACCACTGTATACTTCACTCCAGTCTGAAAAACAACCACTCACCACTACCCTCTGCTTTCTGTCTCCCAGCCAATTTCGTAACCCTGCTGCCACTATCCCTTTTATCTCATGGGCTTCAATTTTGCGAACTAGTCTATTATGCGAAACCTTATCAAATGCCTTCTGAAAGTCCATGTACTATCTTCATCACTCCTTTCTGTTATTTCATCAAAGAACTCAATGGTCAGATATGATTTGCCTTTTAACAAATCCGCCTTAATTGTCATTGATTAACTTATGTTTATCTGTGAAAATTAATTTTGTCTAGGGTTTCCCAGCAAACACGCACTCGTTTTAATCAAACAGATTATATTGAGATTCCAGCTGAACCAGCCAAGCAAGGGGCAGAAAATAAGCCCTCAATGCCAGTGTGTTTAAAATAAACGTTACTCATGTGTTTAAGTCTGAATGGATTGACCATCTAAGGAGATGATTTTAGAGATCATCACATTTTAAGATAAATGTTAGTTTTTTTTCATTGACACTTATTGAGAAATGGTGAAATTGTGAAACGTGTGGGTTACCAGTCAGGCAACATGGATGGCAAGTTGGAACTTTGTGGAAAAGTTTTTGAAATTTTTTGACACATTTTGCAACTTAATTTTTTGTAAGTTTTGAAACCTTGTGGAAAGGTTTTGAAACCGTTTGACAATTCCTCCCCCACCCCATCCAACACCCCCGCACCCACAACTTTGGAAGTTGAATAAAAACCTTAAAGCATCGCACCCACTTTTAAACCAGGAAGGTGAGCCATACGAGGAGAGAGAGAGTTCTGACCGAAGAGATTGACCTTAACCGGTAAGTCTATTTTATCCCTCAAATCATTCTTTTTTTAAAGACTAAAATCAGAATATTATCCGAGTGCACTTTACTCCAACAGTCGACAGCAAGAATGCGTAAATTAATTGCAATTAATAGTTGTGATTATAATAATTTTAAGTATTAATTATAATAAAGTCTTGGCTCTTTGACTGCATGTTCGTTCACATCATGTGTGGCATCCTGTAGCTTAGTGGTTAGAGCACTCGCCTTGCAAGCGAGAGGACCTGGGTTTGGTCCCTGGGCAGGGCAAAATGTTGGGCAGGTTTCCTTTCATTGGTGGATTTCTTTTCCGGGGGTAGTAATCCCTTTAAAAAATAAAAATAAACAATAATAATTTGGTCACTTCAATCCACGACTGTTTGTGGACACTGCTTTGCACAATTGGCTGCCACGTTTCGCCCACAAAATACACAGTCACTACACTATACAATATATTCCGTGAAGCGTTTGAGACGTCTCGAGGACGTTATAGGGTTCTATATCAAAAGCAAGGATTGTTATTATTATTACAGTTGGTCAGGTAAGCAGCCTTTTCCTTAATTAATTTTTTCACACTGTCTGTAAAGTTCATGTAAAGGGGGATGGAATAGAATAGAAACCATGGATCTCAGTTCTTCCTTAATGGGAAAAGCACTGGGTGAGGTGTATGCGTGTGTGGAGGGTGGGGAGGGGGGGATAAATAAATAATAATAATCCTTGCATTTGATATAGCGCTTTTCACGTCGGGAGGACGTCCCAAAGCGCTTCACAGAACACACTGTAAAGTGAATTGACTGTATATTTGTGGGCGAACGCGGCGGCCAATTGCGCACAGCAATGTCCCACAAACAGTCATGGATTGAAAATGACCAATTTGTTCTTGTTTTTTGTTTTGGAGGGATTATTATTAGGCTCTGTGTGGATTAAGGAAACTTGCCCAAGGTTTCGCCCTCTGCCTGGGATTGAACTCAGGTCTCTCACTTGCAAAGCGAGTGCTCTAACCACTGAGCTACAGGACTCCAGTAGGGGCAAGGGTTGAGGGGATGGATAGCAGAAGTGTTCCCAGGTTTCCAATGCTGACATCCTCCCCTCTTCTCCCTTCCAGTGTGTGTCTGCTCCTCAGCAAAGCAGAGAGATCAGTTTGGAAGATGAGACTGCAATTGGGATTTGGTTTGCTCCTGTTAGCAGGAATGCTCTCGTCAGCCCAAGGTAAGGAGTCACTCCATCAGGGAAGCAGTGTGAAACTAATGGGTGTGTGCAAACTGCGCTGCATTAAGACATCATCTAGAGATGATGAAGTAACCAGCTATCAGGAGCACCAATGCAACAACAACGACCGCAACAAATTCCATGTGTGCAGCACTTTTCATGTTGGGAGGACGTCCCAAGGCACTGGACAGCCAGGGATTTGGACCCAAGCTGGGGTTTGGCATCAGGAGGAGTGGAGGATTGGGAGGGTGGGGGTAAGAGGGTGACCAAAGGCGCAGTTGAAGAAGGAGGGTATTGAGAAGGGCCTTGAAGGAGGCGAGGGATGGAGCGAGGCGGAGGGAATGTGGGGTGGAGACCTAAGGATCGGGATCAAGCAAGGTTTGGTCCAAGTCCAATGTCGATTGTATTGTACGTCTCGTGCTTTGCTGTGTGCGCGGCTCAGTTTACTGATGTTCCTCTCAGCACTGTGACCTAACCATGGGCTGTCATCTTCCAGGTGCAAACTGCTCACTGAGCCCCATCGACCTGGAGTTCATCATTGACGGCTCTGGGAGTATCGCGAGGAATGAGTTCTTGCAGCTGAAGACGTTTCTAATCAAGATGATTGAGTTCTTCAATGTGGGGCCCAAGGCCACGAGGTTGGGGCTGATCCAGTACTCCAACAGCATCCAGAACGTCTTCTCCCTGAAGACCTACCAGAACAAAGCGGACATGATCAATAGCATCAGAAAAGTCAAACAATTGAGGGGCGGAACCCGGACCGGTTTAGCCATCAAGTACATTGTGGACACTGCCTTCACCGAGGCACAGGGAGCCCGGCCCCCAGGGAAACACATCCCCAGGGTGGCCGTCATCGTGACGGACGGGCGGCCCCAGGACAGTGTCACTGAGGTGGCGGCCAGGGCACGGAAAGCCGGCATTGAGATCTACTCAGTGGGGGTGGGATCAGCGGATGTCAATTCCCTCCGTGTCATGGCCTCTCCCCCGCTTCAACACCACGTCTTCACGCTGAAGACCTTTAAACTGATTGAACAGTTCGATAAGACCTTCCGGGAAAAGTTGTGCAGTAAGTAGAGAAGGAGCTTCAAGCTTACATTGCTGCGTCAAACGCAAGAATTATTGTTATTAATAATAATGTAAATATTTCCTCCCTTCTCCCCAGATCAGGACCCGTGTGCTCAAGGGAAGCACGGATGTCAGCAGCTGTGTGTGAGAACCCCCGGATCCTATCACTGTGACTGTCACAAGGGCTACACACTGAACCCGGACAAGACGACATGCAAAGGTCACCGTCACTTCCTCTCCACAAACGGTTTCTTCTCCCGCTCCCTCACAGTCACCTGCGCTAAACCCCACAGCTCCATTCTTGGCCACCGCCCCCCCCACCCACTCCTTTTCCTCGTTTACACGCTCCCTCTGGGTCACGTCAGCCGCAGACACGGTGTCAACTTCCACACATATGCGGATGACACACAAATCTACGTCTCCTCCTTCAGCTGCAACTCCAGTTTCCACCAATGTGCTGTTGGCTTGTCTGACAGACATCAAGGTCTGGATGAGAGCAAACTCCCTGCAGCAAAACGGAAACCATACTCCTTGGCTCCCATCAACGTCTTCTCGCCTGTGGCTCTGATCTCATGAACCTTCCTGGTCTTTTCTAAGACTTACAGAACCTGAGCGGCAGGATTGACCCCCCCCCCAACCAGCCGTCCTTCCTCCCCACACATCCAGTCGCTAACCAAGATCGTTTTCCTCTACCTCCGTCACATTGCCCTCCTTCGACTGTACCTCACCCCCAACGCTGCTCAAACCCTCGTCCAACCCCTTTGTCAGCTCCCGCCTCGTCTACTCCAATGTCCTACTTGCCGGTCTCCCCAGCTCCACCACCCACAAAGTACAACTGATTCAGAACTCCGCACCCGGATTCTCACCCACACAAAACTCCGTGCCCCCATCACCCCAGTCCTCGCCAGGATCCACTGGCTCCCTTTCACAGAATGGATCAATTTCAAGCTCATCTCACTCACATACAAATCCCTTTCCCTCCTGGCACCTCCCTATCTTTCTGGTTTGCTTTCTCCCCACTCCACTACCCGCTGCCTTTACTCGGCTGTCTCCAGCTTCTTGCCTGTGTTATTATTATTAATGTGGATCTTTCCTCTTTTCTTCACAGCTGAGGACCTGTGCGCTCACGGGAAGCACGGATGTCAGCAGCTGTGTGTGAAAACCCCCGGATCCTATCACTGTGACTGTCACAAGGGCTACACACTGAACCCGGACAAGACGACATGCAAAGGTCACCGTCACTTCCTCTCCACAAACGGTTTCTCCTCCCTCTCCCTCACAGTCACCTGCGCTAAACCCCACAGCTCCATCCTTGGCCACCCCCCCCCCACCCCCCCCCCCCCCCCCCTACTCCTTTTCCTCGTTTACACGCTCCCTCTGGGCCACGTCAGCCGCAGACACTGTGCCAACTTCCACACGTACGCGGATGACACACAAATCTACTTCTCCTCCTTCAGCTGCAACTGCAATACTTGATTGTATTGTACGTCTCGTGCTTTGCTGTGTGCGCGGCTCAGTTTACTGATGTTCCTCTCAGCACTGTGACCTGACCATGGGCTGTCATCTTCCAGGTGCAAACTGCTCACTGAGCTCCATCGACCTGGAGTTCATCATTGACGGCTCTGGGAGTATCGCGAGCAATGAGTTCTTGCAGCTGAAGACGTTTCTAATCAAGATGATTGAGTTCTTCAATGTGGGGCCCAAGGCCACGAGGTTGGGGCTGATCCAGTACTCCAACAGCATCCAGAACGTCTTCTCCCTGAAGACCTACCAGAACAAAGCGGACATGATCGATAGCATCAGAAAAGTCAAACAATTGAGGGGCGGAACCCGGACCGGTTTAGCCATCAAGTACATTGTGGACACTGCCTTCACCGAGGCACAGGGAGCCCGGCCCCCAGGGAAACACATCCCCAGGGTGGCCGTCATCGTGACGGACGGGCGGCCCCAGGACAGTGTCACTGAGGTGGCGGCCAGGGCACGGAAAGCCGGCATTGAGATCTACTCAGTGGGGGTGGGATCAGCGGATGTCAAATCCCTCCGAGCCATGGCCTCTCCCCCGCTTCAACACCACGTCTTCACGCTGAAGACCTTTAAACTGATTGAACAGTTCGATAAGACCTTCCGGGAAAAGTTGTGCAGTAAGTAGAGAAGGAGCTTCAAGCTTACAATGCTGCGTCAAACGCAAGAATTATTGTTATTAATAATAATGTAAATATTTCCTCCCTTCTCCCCAGATCAGGACCCGTGTGCTCAAGGGAAGCACGGATGTCAGCAGCTGTGTGTGAGAACCCCCGGATCCTATCACTGTGACTGTCACAAGGGCTACACACTGAACCCGGACAAGACGACATGCAAAGGTCACCGTCACTTCCTCTCCACAAACGGTTTCTTCTCCCGCTCCCTCACAGTCACCTGCGCTAAACCCCACAGCTCCATTCTTGGCCACCGCCCCCACCCCCCCACTCCTTTTCCTCGTTTACACGCTCCCTCTGGGTCACGTCAGCCGCAGACACGGTGTCAACTTCCACACATATGCGGATGACACACAAATCTACGTCTCCTCCTTCAGCTGCAACTCCAGTTTCCACCAATGTGCTGTTGGCTTGTCTGACAGACATCAAGGTCTGGATGAGAGCAAACTCCCTGCAGCAAAACGGAAACCATACTCCTTGGCTCCCATCAACGTCTTCTCGCCTGTGGCTCTGATCTCATGAACCTTCCTGGTCTTTTCTAAGACTTACAGAACCTGAGCGGCAGGATTGACCCCCCCCCAACCAGCCGTCCTTCCTCCCCACACATCCAGTCGCTAACCAAGATCGTTTTCCTCTACCTCCGTCACATTGCCCTCCTTCGACTGTACCTCACCCCCAACGCTGCTCAAACCCTCGTCCAACCCCTTTGTCAGCTCCCGCCTCGTCTACTCCAATGTCCTACTTGCCGGTCTCCCCAGCTCCACCACCCACAAAGTACAACTGATTCAGAACTCCGCACCCGGATTCTCACCCACACAAAACTCCGTGCCCCCATCACCCCAGTCCTCGCCAGGATCCACTGGCTCCCTTTCACAGAATGGATCAATTTCAAGCTCATCTCACTCACATACAAATCCCTTTCCCTCCTGGCACCTCCCTATCTTTCTGGTTTGCTTTCTCCCCACTCCACTACCCGCTGCCTTTACTCGGCTGTCTCCAGCTTCTTGCCTGTGTTATTATTATTAATGTGGATCTTTCCTCTTTTCTTCACAGCTGAGGACCTGTGCGCTCACGGGAAGCACGGATGTCAGCAGCTGTGTGTGAAAACCCCCGGATCCTATCACTGTGCCTGTCACAAGGGCTACACACTGAACCCGGACAAGACGACATGCAAAGGTCACCGTCACTTCCTCTTCACAAACGGTTTCTCCTCCCTCTCCCTCACAGTCACCTGCGCTAAACCCCACAGCTCCATCCTTGGCCACCCCCCCCACCCCCCCCCCCCTACTCCTTTTCCTCGTTTACACGCTCCCTCTGGGCCACGTCAGCCGCAGACACTGTGCCAACTTCCACACGTACGCGGATGACACACAAATCTACTTCTCCTCCTTCAGCTGCAACTGCAATACTTGATTGTATTGTACGTCTCGTGCTTTGCTGTGTGCGCGGCTCAGTTTACTGATGTTCCTCTCAGCACTGTGACCTGACCATGGGCTGTCATCTTCCAGGTGCAAACTGCTCACTGAGCTCCATCGACCTGGAGTTCGTCATTGACGGCTCTGGGAGTATCGCGAGCAATGAGTTCTTGCAGCTGAAGACGTTTCTAATCAAGATGATTGAGTTCTTCAATGTGGGGCCCAAGGCCACGAGGTTGGGGCTGATCCAGTACTCCAACAGCATCCAGAACGTCTTCTCCCTGAAGACCTACCAGAACAAAGCGGACATGATCGATAGCGTCAGAAAAGTCAAACAATTGAGGGGCGGAACCCGGACCGGTTTAGCCATCAAGTACATTGTGGACACTGCCTTCACCGAGGCACAGGGAGCCCGGCCCCCAGGGAAACACATCCCCAGGGTGGCCGTCATCGTGACGGACGGGCGGCCCCAGGACGGTGTCATTAAGGTGGCGGCCAGGGCACGGAAAGCCGGCATTGAGATCTACTCAGTGGGGGTGGGATCAGCGGATGTCAAATCCCTCCGAGCCATGGCCTCTCCCCCGCTTCAAGACCACGTCTTCACGCTGAAGACCTTTAAACTGATTGAACAGTTCGATAAGACCTTCCGGGAAAAGTTGTGCAGTAAGTAGAGAAGGAGCTTCAAGCTTACATTGCTGCGTCAAACGCAAGAATTATTGTTATTAATAATAATGTAAATATTTCCTCCCTTCTCCCCAGATCAGGACCCGTGTGCTCAAGGGAAGCACGGATGTCAGCAGCTGTGTGTGAGAACCCCCGGATCCTATCACTGTGACTGTCACAAGGGCTACACACTGAACCCGGACAAGACGACATGCAAAGGTCACCGTCACTTCCTCTCCACAAACGGTTTCTTCTCCCTCTCCCTCACAGTCACCTGCGCTAAACCCCACTGCCCCATCCTTGGCCACCGCCCCCACCCCCCCACTCCTTTTCCTCGTTTACACGCTCCCTCTGGGCCACGTCAGCCGCAGACACGGTGTCAACTTCCACACGTATGCGGATGACACACAAATCTACCTTTCCTCCTCTACTCTCAACTCCACGACCACCGATGTCCTGACAGCTGACTGTCCGACATCGAGTCCTGGATGAGAGACAACTTTCTTCAGCTCAACGTGCGAAAAACCGAGGCCCTCCTGATTGGCTCACGTCAGCGCCTCCGCACCTCAGGCGCTGACACCATCAGCATCCAAGGCCACACTCTCCACCTCTCAAAGCCAATCAGGAACCTCGGGGTTCTGTTCGACCCTGAGCTGTCCTTTCTCCCTCATATCCGCACCACAACTGGCACCGCCTTCCATCACCTCCGGAACATCGCCAGACTACGGCACTACCTCACCCCTCACGCTGCTGAAACCCTGGTCCACGTCTTTGTCACCTCAAGGCTGGACTATGGGAACTCTCTCCTCGCCGGCCTTCCCGCCACCTCCCTCCACACTGCAGGTCATTCAGAACTCTGCAGCTCATGTACTGGACCGCACCAGACACCGCGACCACATCACTCCCACCCTCGCCCTCGCTCGCCTCCACTGGCTCCCCATCCCCCAGAGGATTGATTTCAAGATCCTCATCCTCACCTACAAGGCCATTCACGGCCTCGCTCCCTCCTACCTCTCTGACCTACTATCCCCCTACCTACCTGCCCGTACCCTCCGTTCCTCCGGCTCCGGTCTGCTCCACGTCCCCCGCCCCAATCGCCCTACCATCGGTGGTCGGGCCTTCAGCCTCTCAGCCCCGAGGCTTTGGAACTCTATCCCCAGTGCCTTCGCCGCTTCCTCCCTCTCCTCCTTCAAGGCCGGTCTCAAAACCTTTCTCTTTGACCGAGCCTTCAGCTCCCCTCTCGACTCTCTTCCTCCTCCTCGCTCCCTCCCTTCTCTCCCCTCAGCCTGACCATTTCCCCCTTCCTCGCTCCCTCCCTTCCCTCCCCTCACCCTGACCATTTCCCCCTGCTCGGGTCATGACCCAACTGTGCAGCGCCTTGGGACGTCCTCCTGACGTGAAAGGCGCTTTATAAATGGAATCTTGTTGTTGTTGTTGTTGTTGTCTGCAGACATCAAGGTCTGGATGAGAGCAAACTCCCTGCAGCAAAACGGAAACCATACTCCTTGGCTCCCATCAACGTCTTCTCGCCGTTGGTTCTGATCTCATGAACCTTCCTGGTCTTTTCTTAGACTTACAGAACCCGAGCGGCAGGATTGACCCCCCCACCCCACCGGCCCATCTCCAACCTCCCCTTCCTGTCCAAGGTCCTTGAAAGAGTTGTTGCCTCCCAGCTTCGCTCTTTCCTCTCCACCCATTCATTATTCGAACCCCTTCAGTCAGGTTTCCGTGCTGCCCATAGCACAGAAACCGCCCTGGTCAAGGTCACCAATGACATCCTGACCATCTGCGACCAGGGCTCCCTCTGCCTCCTCGTCCTCCTCGACCTATCGGCAGCATTCGATACGGTTGACCACACTGTCCTCCTCCACTGCTTGTCTTGCCTGTATTATTATTAATGTGGATCTTCCCTCTTTTACCTCTCTTAGGTCGTACCTCTCCCACCGTCTTCATTTTGTTTCCACAAACGGCTTTTCCTCCACCCCCCGCACTGTCTCGTGCGGTGTCCCTCAGGGCTCTGTCCTCGGTCTCCTCCTCTTCACCCTCTATACGCTCCCCCTGTGGTGACATCATCCGCAGACATGGGGTTAACTTCCACATGTATGCGGATGACACCCAACTCTACCTTTCCTCCTCTACCCTCAACTCCACGAATCCCGGTGTCCTGACAGCTGTCTGTTCGACATCGAGTCCTGGACGAGAGACAACTTTCTTCAGCTCAACGTGCGCAAAACTGAGGCCCTCCTGATTGGCTCACGTCAGCGCCTCCGCACCTCAAGCGCTGACACCATCAGCATCCAAGGCTGCACTCTCCACCTCTCAAAGCCATCAGGAACCTCGGCGTTTTGTTCGACCCTGAGCTGTCCTTTCTCCCTCACATCCGCACCACAACTGGCACCGCCTTCTATCACCTCCGGAATATCGCCAGACTACGGCACTACCTCACCTCTCACGCGGCTGAAACTCTGGTCCACGCCTTTATCACCTCAAGGCTGGACTATGGGAACTCTCTCCTCGCCGGCCTTCCCGGACCTCCCTCCACACTGCAGGTCATTCAGAACTCTGCAGCTCGTGTACTGTCCCGCACCAGACACCGCGCCCACATCACTCCCACCCTCACCCTCGCCCTCGCTCGCCTCCACTGGCTCCCCATCCCCCAGAGGATCGAATTCAAGATCCTCATCCTCACCTACGAAGCCATTCACGGCCTCGCTCCCTCCTACCTCTCCGACCTACTATCCCACTACTTACCTGCCCGTACCTTCCGTTCCTCTGGCTCCGGTCTGCTCCACATTCCCTGCCCCAACCTCCCTACCATCGGTGGCCGGGCCTTCAGCCTCTCAGCACCGAGGCTCTGGAACTCCATTCACCAGTGCCTTCGCCGCTTCCTCCCTTTCATCCTTCAAGGCCGGTCTCAAGACCTTTCTCTTTACCGTGCCTTCAGCTCCCCTCTCGACTCTCTACCCCCTCCTCGCTCCCTCCCTTCCCTCCCCTCCCCTCACCCTGACCATTTCCCCCTTGCTCAGGTCCTGACACAACTGTCCAGTGCCTTGGGACATCCTCCCGACGTGACAGGCGCTCTATAAATGGAATATTGTTGTTGTTGTTGTTGTCCTTCCTCCCCTCACATCCGGTCACTAACCAAGATCGCTTTCATCCACCTCCGTCACATTGCCCTCCTCCGACTGTACCTCTCCCCCAACGCTGCTCAAACCCTCGTCCAACGCCTTTGTCTGCTCCCGCCTCGTCTACTCCAATGTCCTACTTGCCGGTCTCCCCAGCTCCACCACCCACAAAGTACAACTGATTCAGAACTCCGCACCCGGATTCTCACCCACACAAAACTCCGTGCCCCCATCACCCCAGTCCTCGCCAGGATCCACTGGCTCCCTTTCACAGAATGGATCAATTTCAAGCTCATCTCACTCACATACAAATCCCTTTCCCTCCTGGCACCTCCCTATCTTTCTGGTTTGCTTTCTCCCCACTCCACTACCCGCTGCCTTTACTCGGCTGTCTCCAGCTTCTTGCCTGTGTTATTATTATTAATGTGGATCTTTCCTCTTTTCTTCACAGCTGAGGACCTGTGCGCTCAAGGGAAGCACGGATGTCAGCAGCTGTGTGTGAAAACCCCCGGATCCTATCACTGTGCCTGTCACAAGGGCTACACACTGAACCCGGACAAGACGACATGCAAAGGTCACCGTCACTTCCTCTTCACAAACGGTTTCTCCTCCCTCTCCCTCACAGTCACCTGCGCTAAACCCCACAGCGCCATTCTTGGCCACCGCCCCCCCCACCCACTCCTTTTCCTCGTTTACACGCTCCCTCTGGGCCACGTCAACCGCAGACACAGTGCCAACCTCCACATGTATGCGGATGACACACAAATCTACTTCTCCTCCTTCAGCTGCAACTCCAATACTTGATTGTATTGTACGTCTCGTGCTTTGCTGTGTGCGCGGCTCAGTTTACTGATGTTCCTCTCAGCACTGTGACCTGACCATGGGCTGTCATCTTCCAGGTGCAAACTGCTCACTGAGCTCCATCGACCTGGAGTTCGTCATTGACGGCTCTGGGAGTATCGCGAGCAATGAGTTCTTGCAGCTGAAGACGTTTCTAATCAAGATGATTGAGTTCTTCAATGTGGGGCCCAAGGCCACGAGGTTGGGGCTGATCCAGTACTCCAACAGCATCCAGAACGTCTTCTCCCTGAAGACCTACCAGAACAAAGCGGACATGATCGATAGCATCAGAAAAGTCAAACAATTGAGGGGCGGAACCCGGACCGGTTCAGCCATCAAGTACATTGTGGACACTGCCTTCACCGAGGCACAGGGAGCCCGGCCCCCAGGGAAACACATCCCCAGGGTGGCCGTCATCGTGACGGACGGGCAGCCCCAGGACAGGGTCACTGAGGTGGCGGCCAGGGCACGGAAAGCCGGCATTGAGATCTACTCAGTGGGGGTGGGATCAGCGGATGTCAATTCCCTCCGAGCCATGGCCTCTCCCCCGCTTCAAGACCACGTCTTCACACTGAAGAACTTTAAACTGATTGAACAGTTCGATAAGACCTTCCGGGAAAAGTTGTGCAGTAAGTAGAGAAGGAGCTTCAAGCTTACAATGCTGCGTCAAACGCAAGAATTATTGTTATTAATAATAATGTAAATATTTCCTCCCTTCTCCCCAGATCAGGACCCGTGTGCTCAAGGGAAGCACGGATGTCAGCAGCTGTGTGTGAGAACCCCCGGATCCTATCACTGTGACTGTCACAAGGGCTACACACTGAACCCGGACAAGACAACATGCAAAGGTCACCGTCACTTTCTCTCCACAAACGGTTTCTTCTCCCGCTCCCTCACAGTCACCTGCGCTAAACCCCACAGCTCCAGTCTTGGCCACCGCCCCCACCCCCCCACTCCTTTTCCTCGTTTACACGCTCTCTCTGGGCCACGTCAGCCGCAGACACGGTGTCAACTTCCACACGTATGCGGATGACACACAAATCTACGTCTCCTCCTTCAGCTGCAACTCCAGTTTCCACCAATGTGCTGTTGGCTTGTCTGACAGACATCAAGGTCTGGATGAGAGCAAACTCCCTGCAGCAAAACGGAAACCATACTCCTTGGCTCCCATCAACGTCTTCTCGCCTGTGGCTCTGATCTCATCAACCTTCCTGGTCTTTTCTAAGACTTACAGAACCCGAGCGGCAGGATTGACCCCCCCCCCAACAACCCGTCCTTCCTCCCCACACATCCAGTCGCTAACCAAGATCGTTTTCCTCCACCTCCGTCACATTGCCTTCCTTCGACTGTACCTCACCCCCAACGCTGCTCAAACCCTCGTCCAACCCTTTGTCAGCTCCCGCCTCGTCTACTCCAATGTCCTACTTGCCGGTCTCCCCAGCTCCACCACCCACAAAGTACAACTGATTCAGAACTCCGCACCCGGATTCTCACCCACACAAAACTCCGTGCCCCCATCACCCCAGTCCTCGCCAGGATCCACTGGCTCCCTTTCACAGAATGGATCAATTTCAAGCTCATCTCACTCACATACAAATCCCTTTCCCTCCTGGCACCTCCCTATCTTTCTGGTTTGCTTTCTCCCCACTCCACTACCCGCTGCCTTTACTCGGCTGTCTCCAGCTTCTTGCCTGTGTTATTATTATTAATGTGGATCTTTCCTCTTTTCTTCACAGCTGAGGACCTGTGTGCTCACGGGAAGCACGGATGTCAGCAGCTGTGTGTGAAAACCCCCGGATCCTATCACTGTGCCTGTCACAAGGGCTACACACTGAACCCGGACAAGACGACATGCAAAGGTCACCGTCACTTTCTCTCCACAAACGGTTTCTCCTCCCTCTCCCTCACAGTCACCTGCGCTAAACCCCACAGCTCCATCCTTGGCCACCCCCCCCCACCCCCCCCTACTCCTTTTCCTCGTTTACACGCTCCCTCTGGGCCACGTCAGCCGCAGACACTGTGCCAACTTCCACACGTACGCGGATGACACACAAATCTACTTCTCCTCCTTCAGCTGCAACTGCAATACTTGATTGTATTGTACGTCTCGTGCTTTGCTGTGTGCGCGGCTCAGTTTACTGATGTTCCTCTCAGCACTGTGACCTGACCATGGGCTGTCATCTTCCAGGTGCAAACTGCTCACTGGGCTCCATCGACCTGGAGTTTGTCATTGACGGCTCTGGGAGTATCGCGAGCAATGAGTTCTTGCAGCTGAAGACGTTTCTAATCAAGATGATTGAGTTCTTCAATGTGGGGCCCAAGGCCACGAGGTTGGGGCTGATCCAGTACTCCAACAGCATCCAGAACGTCTTCTCCCTGAAGACCTACCAGAACAAAGCGGACATGATCGATAGCGTCAGAAAAGTCAAACAATTGAGGGGCAGAACCCGGACCGGTTTAGCCATCAAGTACATTGTGGACACTGCCTTCACCGAGGCACAGGGAGCCCGGCCCCCAGGGAAACACATCCCCAGGGTGGCCGTCATCGTGACGGACGGGCGGCCCCAGGACGGTGTCATTAAGGTGGCGGCCAGGGCACGGAAAGCCGGCATTGAGATCTACTCAGTGGGGGTGGGATCAGCGGATGTCAAATCCCTCCGAGCCATGGCCTCTCCCCCGCTTCAAGACCACGTCTTCACGCTGAAGAACTTTAAACTGATTGAACAGTTCGATAAGACCTTCCGGGAAAAGTTGTGCAGTAAGTAGAGAAGGAGCTTCAAGCTTACATTGCTGCGTCAAACGCAAGAATTATTGTTATTAATAATAATGTAAATATTTCCTCCCTTCTCCCCAGATCAGGACCCGTGTGCTCAAGGGAAGCACGGATGTCAGCAGCTGTGTGTGAGAACCCCCGGATCCTATCACTGTGACTGTCACAAGGGCTACACACTGAACCCGGACAAGACGACATGCAAAGGTCACCGTCACTTTCTCTCCACAAACGCTCCCTTACAGTCACCTGCGCTAAACCCCACAGCTCCAGTCTTGGCCACCGCCCCCACCCCCCACTCCTTTTCCTCGTTTACACGCTCCTCTGGGTCACGTCAGCCGCAGACACGGTGTCAACTTCCACACATATGCGGATGACACACAAATCTACGTCTCCTCCTTCAGCTGCAACTCCAGTTTCCACCAATGTGCTGTTGGCTTGTCTGACAGACATCAAGGTCTGGATGAGAGCAAACTCCCTGCAGCAAAATGGAAACCATACTCCTTGGCTCCCATCAACGTCTTCTCGCCTGTGGCTCTGATCTCATCAACCTTCCTGGTCTTTTCTAAGACTTACAGAACCCGAGCGGCAGGATTGACCCCCCCCCAACACCCGTCCTTCCTCCCCACACATCCAGTCGCTAACCAAGATCGTTTTCCTCCACCTCCGTCACATTGCCTTCCTTCGACTGTACCTCACCCCCAACGCTGCTCAAACCCTCGTCCAACCCCTTTGTCAGCTCCCGCCTCGTCTACTCCAATGTCCTACTTGCCGGTCTCCCCAGCTCCACCACCCACAAAGTACAACTGATTCAGAACTCCGCACCCGGATTCTCACCCACACAAAACTCCGTGCCCCCATCACCCCAGTCCTCGCCAGGATCCACTGGCTCCCTTTCACAGAATGGATCAATTTCAAGCTCATCTCACTCACATACAAATCCCTTTCCCTCCTGGCACCTCCCTATCTTTCTGGTTTGCTTTCTCCCCACTCCACTACCCGCTGCCTTTACTCGGCTGTCTCCAGCTTCTTGCCTGTGTTATTATTATTAATGTGGATCTTTCCTCTTTTCTTCACAGCTGAGGACCTGTGTGCTCACGGGAAGCACGGATGTCAGCAGCTGTGTGTGAAAACCCCCGGATCCTATCACTGTGCCTGTCACAAGGGCTACACACTGAACCCGGACAAGACGACATGCAAAGGTCACCGTCACTTTCTCTCCACAAACGGTTTCTCCTCCCTCTCCCTCACAGTCACCTGCGCTAAACCCCACAGCTCCATCCTTGGCCACCCCCCCCCACCCCCCCCCCCTACTCCTTTTCCTCGTTTACACGCTCCCTCTGGGCCACGTCAGCCGCAGACACTGTGCCAACTTCCACACGTACGCGGATGACACACAAATCTACTTCTCCTCCTTCAGCTGCAACTGCAATACTTGATTGTATTGTACGTCTCGTGCTTTGCTGTGTGCGCGGCTCAGTTTACTGATGTTCCTCTCAGCACTGTGACCTGACCATGGGCTGTCATCTTCCAGGTGCAAACTGCTCACTGGGCTCCATCGACCTGGAGTTTGTCATTGACGGCTCTGGGAGTATCGCGAGCAATGAGTTCTTGCAGCTGAAGACGTTTCTAATCAAGATGATTGAGTTCTTCAATGTGGGGCCCAAGGCCACGAGGTTGGGGCTGATCCAGTACTCCAACAGCATCCAGAACGTCTTCTCCCTGAAGACCTACCAGAACAAAGCGGACATGATCGATAGCGTCAGAAAAGTCAAACAATTGAGGGGCAGAACCCGGACCGGTTTAGCCATCAAGTACATTGTGGACACTGCCTTCACCGAGGCACAGGGAGCCCGGCCCCCAGGGAAACACATCCCCAGGGTGGCCGTCATCGTGACGGACGGGCGGCCCCAGGACGGTGTCATTAAGGTGGCGGCCAGGGCACGGAAAGCCGGCATTGAGATCTACTCAGTGGGGGTGGGATCAGCGGATGTCAAATCCCTCCGAGCCATGGCCTCTCCCCCGCTTCAAGACCACGTCTTCACGCTGAAGAACTTTAAACTGATTGAACAGTTCGATAAGACCTTCCGGGAAAAGTTGTGCAGTAAGTAGAGAAGGAGCTTCAAGCTTACATTGCTGCGTCAAACGCAAGAATTATTGTTATTAATAATAATGTAAATATTTCCTCCCTTCTCCCCAGATCAGGACCCGTGTGCTCAAGGGAAGCACGGATGTCAGCAGCTGTGTGTGAGAACCCCCGGATCCTATCACTGTGACTGTCACAAGGGCTACACACTGAACCCGGACAAGACGACATGCAAAGGTCACCGTCACTTTCTCTCCACAAACGCTCCCTTACAGTCACCTGCGCTAAACCCCACAGCTCCAGTCTTGGCCACCGCCCCCACCCCCCCACTCCTTTTCCTCGTTTACACGCTCCCTCTGGGTCACGTCAGCCGCAGACACGGTGTCAACTTCCACACATATGCGGATGACACACAAATCTACGTCTCCTCCTTCAGCTGCAACTCCAGTTTCCACCAATGTGCTGTTGGCTTGTCTGACAGACATCAAGGTCTGGATGAGAGCAAACTCCCTGCAGCAAAATGGAAACCATACTCCTTGGCTCCCATCAACGTCTTCTCGCCTGTGGCTCTGATCTCATCAACCTTCCTGGTCTTTTCTAAGACTTACAGAACCCGAGCGGCAGGATTGACCCCCCCCAACAACCCGTCCTTCCTCCCCACACATCCAGTCGCTAACCAAGATCGTTTTCCTCCACCTCCGTCACATTGCCCTCCTTCGACTGTACCTCACCCCCAACGCTGCTCAAACCCTCGTCCAACCCCTTTGTCAGCTCCCGCCTCGTCTACTCCAATGTCCTACTTGCCGGTCTCCCCAGCTCCACCACCCACAAAGTACAACTGATTCAGAACTCCGCACCCGGATTCTCACCCACACAAAACTCCGTGCCCCCATCACCCCAGTCCTCGCCAGGATCCACTGGCTCCCTTTCACAGAATGGATCAATTTCAAGCTCATCTCACTCACATACAAATCCCTTTCCCTCCTGGCACCTCCCTATCTTGCTGGTTTGCTTTCTCCCCACTCCACTACCCGCTGCCTTTACTCGGCTGACTCCAACCTCTTGATTTTATTATTATTTTTATGAATGTAGATCTTCCCTCTCTTCTTCCCAGCTGAGGACCTGTGCGCTCACGGGAAGCACGGATGTCAGCAGCTGTGTGTGAACTCACACACACAAATTCTCTCTAGTTGCAGCCTGTCACCTCCTCCATCTCCTGCACGATTCCCCGAATCTTAAACCTTAAACTCAGCTTTAATTTCAGGAGTCAGTTTGAGAGTTTAGCCAGAATTATAGAGGGCGATCAAAATGTACATCAAAATGCTTTGCGGGTGAATAGCCTTGTACAGCCCTGTATATACAGTAAAACATAACTGTTTTTCAAAAAAGAAAAAGTTCAAAATATGATTTAAAATATGAAATCCTATTATTAGGACTGAGCAAAGAATGTTGTTATTTTCCGATCGTCTTCCACCCTAATTAAGCCGTTGCTAAAAAATAGCCCAAATCTGAAAAAAAAGACACGTCACATAATGTTGAGACGGACTTGAGCGGATTCAATCTCTCTTCCAGGGAAAGTAGATACGGACGAGTGTGGGTGTAAGGCTCAGCTGGATTTCCAAAGCAAAGTGTTCTTCATGTTAAACGGAATTCGCAAGCATGATATCCTTTTACCTGTGGAGTGAATAGCAACAAATGACATTGATAATAATAAGCCTGATATCGCGCCTGATCAAAACTATGAGACGTCTCAAAGCGCTTCACTGTAAAGTGAATTGACTGTGTATTTTGTGGGCGGAAATTTGTTCAGCGCCTTTGACGTCAGGAGGACGTGCCAAGGGGCTGACTGCGGGGATGGAGAGCAGGAGGGGGTTGGGGTGAGTGGGGGGGGGTCACACGTCCGGCAGCTGTTCGCGCAAAACCAGTCACTACACTTGACAATAATCACTCTGAAATTCTGTCGCACATTTTGATATACAAGGGGCAATGAAAATACAAGCTCTACCTTTCTCTCTCTCTCTCTCTCTCTCTCTATTTCTCTCTCTCACTCGCTTTCTCTCTCTCGTTTTCTTTCTCTCTCTCCTTTCTCTCTTTCTTTCTTTGAATCCCACAGTAGGCACGATAGGGGTGGGGAGAGGGGGCAGAAGGGAGAAAGGGGGCAATGAGCCCAGTTATGATTGTTCCTTAACCATAAACACTGGGCCGATTGACGCGGAAACTCGGCAAATTGAAAACGCGTTGTGGCTAATTTAGGATCCAGTCAGAGTTGAATTTTCACCCGGATCCCGAAGGTGAAAGCATTGCGTCCTCATGTTGAACGTGCTTTTAAAAGGAATCTGACAGGACGGAAGAATATACTCTACTGGGAACACTCAGCAGGTCAGGCAGCATCTATGGAGAGAGGAAAGTGAGTCAACGTTTCAGGTCCACGACCCTTCGTCAGACTTTGACTCACTTTTCTCTCTCCATCGATGATACCTGACCTGCTGAGTGTTCCCAGCGACTTCTGTTTTTGTTTCAGATTTCCAGCATCTGCAGTATTTTGCATTTCGGAAGAACAGATTGATTTTTTTCCTCAGATTGTTGTCCATTGCGCTTGCATCAAAGCTTATTAAAGAGGCAATTTAGATAGTCTTTTGTTTTGCTTCACTGGGTGTCTGACACGTGCGGAAAACTTAAGGGTATCCAAACCAAACTGTGATCCCACCTACACATGGAAATTCCAAAGACAGATTGTTGGAATGGAATGCTCTCTCTCTCTCTCTCCCTGGAGGATAGCATCCTGGTTACCTAATTCTGGAGAGTGTTAGGCATAGGTTGGCCAGAGTCAAGGCCTGGAGGTAGCCCAGAGTGTGCATTGGGGTAACTGCTGGAGTCTAACCAGCTAAAACCAGATAGCTTGCCATTGAGAGCACTGTCTGGCCAGCTTTCCTGCTGCTTGTCCAGCTCGGATCACCCTACCCGTTAGTTAGGGCTTTGCCTGCAGGGTTAACAGGAGCTGAGGGGGAGGATTCCCTGCCCCCAGTGATTGGTACCAGGTCCTGGTGATAAGTCAGGCTGGCAGTGCCCTGGAATACTGCGGACCCGCCTGGCTCAGGAACTGGACAACCAAGACCATCACAGTGGGCTGACTCGACTCTGCCATTCTGTTGCCAAACATTTCATCTTGGAGCCTGTTCAGCACCAAACAGCTGCTGTTTACCCCGTCCCCAAAGAGCACAGTCACTTAGTTGGCTATTAGACAGAGAAGGTTTTATTAGTTTTTGATATTTCCCCTTTTCCCGTTTTTTTGCCTATTTCAAGGGCAACATTTCATCTGATCAGAACTGGGGCAGAGGGGGCGGAGAATCTCCTATTGGGGGTTAAAGAGACCCAAACTGTAACACACCTACAAAAACACAGTCACTGCAATTTAGAGTGAAGCTCTTCGAGTCACCTCCACTACAGTATTTTACAAGGTTTTTGTTTCTTGTACATTCCTCATGAAAGGGACTCTTACCCCGATTTTATTGCCTGTGTCCAGGAGAGGGCAGTATCTGCTAATCATGCCACAACGGCCTTAGTTAAACCTGGGGAGGAGGACCTGATAAAATAATAAAAATAATTATAGTAATCCTCGCATTTGATACAGCGCCTTATCACATCTTCGAGACGTCTCAAAGCGCTTCACGGGTTACACTGTAAAGTGAATCGAGTGTATAGTTTCTGGGCAAAAATAAGACAATACAAAATGACATTTACACAGCGTCTCAAGGCGCTGGACAGTCAGGGACCCGGGCTCGGGGAGGGTGCCTGAAGGCTCAGTTGAAGAGAAGGGTTTTGAGGTGCGCCTTGAAGGAGACAAGGGAGGGAGCAAGGCAAAGAGAACGTGGGATGGCGTTCCATAGGGTGGGGGCAGAAAGGCTATAGGTCCGACCGCCAAGGGTGGGGCAGACCGGGGGAGGTGGGGAGGGATTAGAACGTGGAGCAAGCCTCAGTCTGCTGAGCGGAGGAAGCGGACAGGTTGATATGGGGTCAGCAGGTTGCAGAAGTTGGGAAGGGCAAAGTCAATTGCGCACAGCAGTGTTCCACAAACAGTTGTGGATTGAGTGACTAAATTATTATTATTATATTTTGATATTTGCCTTGTGTGGACTGAACTGGAGTTCCTCCAACTCCCGGACAAGCCACAAAGCACTGACATCTGCTGTCAGACACTTATACCATTAAACAGTGACCTGATTCCAACCCACAGCCCCTCCGCCTCGCCCCCTCCCTCGCCTCCTTCAAGGCCTGTTTCAAGACCTACCTCTACGACCGCTCCTTCGGTCGCCCTCCTACCCCCCACCCTCCCTGCCCTCCACAACCCTCAGCTCGGGTCCATATCCCTAACTGTCCAGTGCCTTGGGACGTCCTACCTCTTTCGCCGTCTCTCTCTCTCTCTCTCCTCTTTCCTCAGTGATTATTCCCTCCATTCCCACGAGTGCAAGCAAGTAGCTCCCATCCCACCTGTAAATCACTCCACTTCTCTGTGCTTGAGGCTATGATCTGCAGTCTGCAATCCTACCAGGCACACACTGTGTATGTGTGTGTGTATATAACGAGTGAAAGACCTTCCTCTCCCAACAGTAGGGCAGATCGGAACAGCTGCAAACGGGAAGGATAGAGTCTTTTCCTGTCCCCGTCCAGTTTACTTTCCGATCACATGAAGGGAATATTCTAGACACAAATGGGAATAATGACAAGCTATTCCTGGAGTCTTCTACCTGGGACCTGCCGGTTGGCCTCCCTCTGTAAGTACAGTACCGGGCTCTCACACACTTACAGTCACTTTCAACAATGTCCATAAATGATATCAGACTCTGCCTCACCCACTCCGTCACCAAAATTTTCAGTCTCTTATGGACTGAACAGATTTATGCTTTTATAGCACCTCATTGTGTCAAAATAATAATACTACTAATGACCCTTACATTTGATGCAACATCTTGTGCTGTGAGGTGCACAGTGTACAATCACTACACTACACCCTGAGAAGGCAGATGTAGTGACTGGCTGTTTTGAAGGTGAACGCACAGCAGCCCCCCTCTGCCCACCACAAACAGCCATGAAGTGAGTGATCAATTTTATCCGGGGGATTGTCAGTCGGGGCACCAAGAAAGAGAGAGAAACTCCCTTCACTTTTCAAATAGGGACCTCGATTTAATGTCTCACCTGACAATGCAACCCTCCCACACACACACACCAACACACGCGCCCCCACCCCCCCCCACCACATCCCCCCCCCACATACACCCACACCCACACACCCCCACACTCACACACCCACACACGCCCCCACACCCCCACACACCCACAACCACCCCCGACACACCCACACCCCCCCGCCACACGCACACACACCCACCCCCCTCCACAAATACCCACATACCACCCCCCCACACACCCACCCCCCCCACACACACCCACACACCACCCCCAGCACCCAAACCCACACACCACCCCCCCACACACACACCAACACGCCCCCCCCACCACATCCCCCCCACATACACCCACACATCACCCCCACACACACACACCCTCACACCCCCCCCACACACACCCACACACCACGCCCCCCCTCACACCCGCCATACACACCCACAACCCTCCCCCCACACCCCCCCACACACCCCCCACACCCCCCCACACACCACCCCCAGCACCCAAACCCACACCCCACCCCCACACACACCCACACCCCCCCACACACCCACCCACACACCACCCTCCCCCCCACACACACCCACACACCACCCCCACCCACACACCAACCCCCACCCCCACACACACCCCCCCACCCTCCCCCCCCACACACACCCACTCACCAATCCCCACCCCCACACATACCCACACACCACCCCCCCTACACACACACCCACACACCCATACCTAAAACTGCATTTGAGTATTAGTTTAGACTGAGCCAGGCTGACACCTAAATTGTCTCAGAGTGCTGGATGGTGTGGACTGGGTGGGAATATATAATAATAATATAATCCTTGCATTTGATATAGCGCTTTTCACGTCGGGAGGACGTCCCAAATCGCTTCACAGAACACACTGTAAAGTGAATTGACTGTATATTTGTGGGCGAACGCGGCAGCCAATTGCGCACAGCAATGTCCCACAAACAGTCGTAGATTGAAAATGACCAATTTATTATTGTTTTGTTTTGGAGGGATTATTATTAGGCTCTGTGTGGAGTAAGGAAACTTGCCCAAGGTTTCGCCCTCTGCCTGGAATTGAACTCAGGTCTCTGGCTTGCAAAGCGAGTGCTCTAACCACTGAGCTACAGGACTCCACCTGAGCTACAGGACTCCACTATTCAATTGGCATTGAAGCCAAACCCAATAGCATTGCCCTTGCCCTGTCCTTCCTCGTCCCCACTTGTGATACTGCCCCCCACTTCCCTGGTGTCGGAGGGGAAAAAGGAGTCAAATCACTTTGAGGAGGAGAAGGGTGAACGGTCAGAAATATTACTTTCTGTGCCAGCTGACCACATTATAGTGTAAACACTGAGAGACAGAACACCAGCTGGTGGGAGCAGAGGAATTTGGCAGAGAAATTCACAGCTTACAAAACAGTGCTGTCTTTACTCTAAAACGCTCCACATCTTGTAACCCTCAGCAGGATCACGGAACCATTGGAAAAATAATAACTGGCATTTATATAGCGCCCTTCACGCAGGGCAGGTCTAGAAGTGCTTAACAAGCTACACTGCATGAAGGGCACCATATAAATGCAACTAAAAAAACAACCAGGACCTTTCCTTTCACATCTGCAAAAGGTGAAACTGTGCAGCGCTCAGGCCTGAGGGTGGGAGAGATGGCTGGAAAGATAATAATAATAATAATCCTTGCATTTGATACAGCGCCTTATCATGTCATTGAAACGTCTCAAAGCGCTTCACGAGATACACTGTAAAGTGAATTGACTGTGTATTTTGTGGGTGAAACGTGAGTAACCAAATTATTATAGTTTTTTTTTGAAGGGATTATCACAGATAGATTAGCCCAGGTTTGGAAGGCAGGTAGAGAGAGGGCGAGGGGAAGTTTGGGTTAATGAAACGCTCTGATCTCCTGAAGGCGGGCACTGACTTCACTGGGGTAAAGTGGGAGTTTCACACACAAGAAGGTAAAAACTGAGACCCACTCAGCAAATTAGGATCCAGAAAACCATCAGCTTCGGGAAGTGAATCGAAGCGCAGTGAGAGAATCTCTCGGGACTCGTAGAAGCTGCTCTTATCCTGATCTGTACCCAACGCAGTCTCTTCTGCACTCTCCATCAAGTCCTGCAACAGAAACACAATATCTTTGTGGAATCTGGGAGATCGATGCACAAAGTGGTTCTGCTGATCGTTTTTTCTCTCTGCCGGTGTTATTATAAGACAAATTATTGTTCAGATATCGTGAAATTTAGATCTTCACGAGACATTCTTATCTTACCTTTGATGACGTCTTTTATATTCTCGTAAAGCCTATCTGAGCCAGTTCCACCATTTTATTAGATTCTATTTATACTCCGAAACTTTGGTCCTCTCTCCGCCAATCCTTGCCCCTTGCCCCCTCCATCCCCTTTTTCAGATCATGACCGAAGACCTTCCCCTCGGCCGTACTTATGGTCACCTCCTCCCTCTCCCGTGGATCGGAGTCAGGCTCTGCCACTGTTAAGCGCTCTGAAACGCTGCCTCATGCGAAGGGCGCTGTGTAAATGCAAGTTGTTGTTTTAGAACAACAAGCAACTAAGAAAGCGAACGGCATGTTAGCGTTCATTGCAAAAGGTTTAGAGTACAAGAGTAGGGAATTCTTGCTGACTTGGTGAGACCGCACCGAGAGTATTGTCTGCAGTTTTGGTCTCCTTATTTAAAAAAGGACACACTTGCCCTCGAGGGGGTGCAGCGTAGATTCACTCGGTTAGTGCCTGGGATGAGGGGACTGACCTATGAGGATAGGCTGAATAAACTGGGGCTGTATTCTCAAGAGTACAGAAGAATTAGGGGGGATCTTATTGAAACTTATAAGATTTTTAAAGGGCTGATAAAGTAGACACTGAGGGATTGTTTCCCCGGGAGGAGAATCTATAACCAGGGGTCACAGTCTGAAAATGAAGGGTCAGCCTTTTATAACAGAGTTGAGGAAACATTTCTTCACTCAGAGGGTGAATTTATGGAATTCACTACCCCAGAAGGCTGTAGATGCTCAATCCTTGAACATCTTGACGGCTGAGACTGATAGATTTTTAAAAAAGAGAGATTAGGGAATATGGGGATAGGGCGGGTAATCAGAGTTAGGTCTGAAGTTCAGCCATGATCTTATCGAATGGTGGGGCACAGGCATGAAGGGCCGAATGGCCTACTCCTGCTCCTAATTCTTATGTTCTTATGTGCTTAGATCATGGCTCACCTGCACCTCAACTCCATTTACTCCCCTTTTCCCCGTATCTCTTGGTACCCTGACCTAACAAACATCTATCCACCTCAGTCTTGAAGATTTGAATGGATCCAGCCATAATCCACAGTCTTTTGGGGGAGAGAGCGAAAGAAAGTTTCAGATTCCCACTCCCCTGATAATAATAATAATAATAATCCTTGCATTTGATATAGTGCTTTTCACGTCGGAAGGACGCCCAAAGCGCTTCACAGAACACACTGTAAAGTGAATTGACTGTATATTTGTGGGCGAACGCGGCAGCCAATTGCGCACAGCAATGTCCCACAAACAGTCGTAGATTGAAAATGCCAATTTTATTATTGTTTTGGTTTTGGAGGGATTATTATTAGGCTCTGTGTGGAGTAAGGAAACTTGCCCAAGGTTTCGCCCTCTGCCTGGAATTGAACTCAGGTCTCTCGCTTGCAAAGCGAGTGCTCTAACCACTGAGCTACAGGACTCCACGCACACACACACACTGTATGAAACGCTGGGATCATTGTAATCATTTAAGAGCTTAGGAACCTGTCTGCAGTAAACCGTGCGCTATCAGCCAGTCTGATTTCCTCGCTCGGATTTGAGCCATTGAGAGCAAATCCCATCTGTCTGTCTCTCCATTCTGATACAGAGATGCCAAGCGGATCAGCAGTCAGTTAGCGCACCGCTAAACACAGTATATTGATATATTTTTAAGAAATTGAGGACTTCTTTTGTAAAAAAAAACCAAATCCAAACTGTATCCATATGTACATCATCCCAAACACACACACACACACACACACACACACGGCTGGCTCTGCCTATAACTGTGCGGTTTCTCTGTGCGGTTTCTCTGGACTGAAACGTGCGTGTGTATGTGGAGGGGGCTGTGTGTGTGTGTGTGTATGTGGAGGCGGCTGTGTGTGTGTGTGTGTGTGTGGAGGGGGCTGTGTGTGTGTGTGTGTATGGAGGGGGCTGTGTGTGTGTGTGGAGGGGGCTGTGTGTGTGTGTGTGTATGTGGAGGCGGCTGTGTGTGTGTGTGGAGGGGGCTGTGTGTGTGTGTGGAGGGGGCTGTGTGTGTGTGTGTGTATGTGGAGGCGGCTGTGTGTGTGTGTGTGGAGTGGGCTGTGTGTGTGTGTGTGGAGGGGGCTGTGTGTGTGTGTGTGTGTGTGTGTATGTGGAGGGCGGCTGTGGTGTGTGTGTGTGGAGGGGGCTGTGTGTGTATGTGTGTATGTGGAGGGGCTGTGTGTGTGGTGTGTATGTGGAGACGGCTGTGTGTGTGTGTGGAGTGGGCTGTGTGTGTGTGTGGAGTGGGCTGTGTGTGTGTGTGTATGTGGGCTGTG